ATGCCATATAACAAGTAGATTGGTACAATATGTGAAACCGAGCTTCTTCGTGCTACCCCACCGTATTATGTGCGTAAATACACGTCTAATCGGATTGACTGGTAGAAACCTGACGTCTATACTGAATGAGCTGGCCACCGTCTGGCAGCAGGTCCTTCAACTTCTACCTCTTAGGTTCTCTTAATCGTTGTTGGATCACGGAAACCCTAATCCTGCCACCCCATTCCACTCCATATTGTCATCTCCTTTCGTCTCTCTACCACCGCTTTCCACGTTCCGTTCGCGGCAATATCCTAGAAGTCTCCTCCAATAGACGTGCGATGAATACGGCTCACAGAGTTTGGACCAGACGTATCAGCAGACCAAATCTAAACCGACACGATGGGAGCCCATAATCTCATCATATGTGTGTGCGTATCTTTGCGAGCGTTCGAGTATTAGGTTCATAGGTGTAGATAGCTCTTGCAAAAACGCCATGAGTATGTAGAGATACTCGAACCTTGTGGCGAACCTTGGTGTGGCAACTGTTTTTCGCTTTCTAGGCTACGCTTGACATGTTTCAAGTTCCAACCTTCCCATTACGTCTCGTCATCGCGTTCTTGCATCTCCTCCCTTTCAGCTACCTCAGTCATTCGTTCTCTGACGCTTTCGTCCCTATCCCAAACTTTCCATCCCATATGTGGTTTAAGAGCGTTAGCCCCTGGTCTTGGTGGCGAAGTTACAAACGGACATTCGGCGGTTCCATCGCCATACAAAAAGTCGTCCACCTCCTCATTGACAAGCTGTGAGTATTGACGAGACAGGGGTGCCAGAACTGTAAAGCTTGGCTTGCTAACATTGACTTCGCCGTGGTAATAATCTCGTAGTTGCTCAAAGAGCCACGGCCAATCACATCCTGGACGCATCCGCTGAAAACAATCATGTAATGTTACGCTCTGTAAGTTTGGCGATGTGGTAAACATGTCTCTGAGGTCCTCCTCTGACAGTTTCACATTCCGCAGGGTGAGACACCGCAAGCGCGATCTCATAGCCTCAGGGATGGGATTGAATCGTAGAAAGAAGCGCCAAGACCGGCCTGATCTACTGTCGTTGAAGCCAAGATCGAGATATTCGAGGTACTGTAGTTCTACCAGTAGAGACTTGAGACTGTTCAAGCCTTCTGGACTCATAAGATAGTCATTTGGAGGAGTGAAAATCATTTTTAGGCGCTTCAAGCGTGTCCGCTGGAATATTTGTTTCGTAAGTCGATAATTTTGTGAAGTTTCGGTGAGGAAGCAGTGGTAATAGGACCTTGCTTGGTGTTCAGATTCGACTATGAACTCTTCGATGTGCGGATCTGGCATGGCGAGTATAGCAGACACCACAACGCCGTAGTTCCTGTGTTCCGCTGGCAAGGGCTTTGCGTTCTTGGGCGGGTTGGCAGCACTAGGGTGCCACTGAGCAAACATATCCTCTGACTCCTGGTCGGACCGAAGCCATGGCCAGACAGCTGGTTTGCGGAAACCTAGAGGTAACGAACGATGATAGGGGGTATTGTATCGAGGCACGACATTCCATGCGGGCCAAGTGTCAGTCGTTAGCGTCATTCTTCTCACATTTGGAAAGCCATTCAGGGCTTGATGCAGTGCCATCGCATCGATTTGCTGTTCCACAAGCTCTTGTTCCTGGCGATACAGTTCCTGATATAACGCGTAGCTGTCTTCAATGCTCATCATTGTGGCATTCCTAGCAAGAACATCTCTTGAGAACTGATCATCGTATCGCAGAAGGATTTCCTTCGCAGCCTCAGTCAATCGACCATCCTGAAGTAAGTCTTCCATTTCTAATGGTCGGTAATCGGGATCACTATCACCATAGATCTCCATGGCTTCCTCAAGTCGACGTTCAATGGCTCTGGTAGTCTCTCTTTCGTCGGCGATGATTGCGGCACGGAATCCTTCCAACGTCGAATACTCTTTGAGCAAAGCATCGTCCCAAACAATCTCGCGCACACGACCAGGGTATGTAGGATGGGCCAGAATCTGATGTAGATAGTCCAGGTTAGCTCGATTAGGCGAGACGTAGATGCGATCTATGCGTAGATACACGCTGGACGCGAAATGCTTGCTCACGAGCCGCAATCGCTTGATGTCGAGCTTAGAGATATGTTCGCATACGATTTCGAGTAGCTCTGCCGGCAAGTCTGTGATGGTCTTCTTGTTCCGAGCCCCGCTCCCAAAAGCTTCAGGAAACTCATCGCCAAACAACCCCTCCATGAAGCTCATCGAGGGCACATTGCTAGCACTCACGGCTGACACAGTTGAAACCCTGCGCTTTGTAACGCCAGCGCGGATGGATAAGCTAGGCTTGCGGCGTCGGGTCTTGGCAGGTGCAGGTCGTATCTGGAGGTTTGCGAACATCGCATCGATGTCTTTCTAGCTTGATAGATGGCTATCACAAGATAGCATATGCAGGCGGATCTTGATGTTTTTGGCCTCTTGTGACGCTAGGTAAGGTTGGTGTGGTCTTCTAGGTTGTGCGCATGAAACTTGAATCTGTACCAAGTATGCAGAGCTTTGAAATTGTATACAGAAATGTACATGCGATGTATAAGGAAGAGAAATGGGTTTTGATGATGCTCAAAGTACGGTGTCGGAAGACAAAGGTTTATGCTAAGGGTAGTGAAACGCCAGCGCTTGCAGCGCTACCAATGCAAGGCTACCTGCTCTCCGATTCGAGTGCAGCTGAGCGGGCACTATAGACAACTTTGCGCGTTGCGCGTGCTGTCTTTACAGAAGCGACAACCATTTGAACCACTTCATGAGCCAGACGCGGTTTATGGGCCATGGAGGAAGTCATTTCAATCCGCGGGAACCCGCAACGTGCCTTCGCTTACAGGCAGCGTGGTGGAGAGCTGCCCGTAGTGGGGTGGGTCCCCAGCCAACGTCAAAAGCTTCACAACAACACCATAGCAAGATTCAAGAGGATCATTCACGATAGTCAGGTCTTCTCATTATGCCGGGTGCTTTCCAGCAACCCTAAGAGTGCCCGAGAGCATACATGAGCAGGTACTGCCTTTCCAGCAAGCATCCCGCGAACGGTTCCACGACGCATGTCCACCACTCGATAGCCACAGCAAGTACACCGTCTGCCAATGCAGGCATACAGTATACCAGCCATGCCATCACAGCAGACGCGCTCGCTCTTCCCATATCGATATGAAGATTGACCAGCACCCGAGTGCATATCCATACCCCGCACATACCGTTGCCGAAGCACAGAAGTATGACTGAGGCTGTGTGTAGAAGTCGAAGTCAGGGAAGGGGGCGAGTCGTTCATTTAGGAACCCTCCTCGCCCTCAGCCTTGTTCTTCTTCTTCTTCTTGCTTGAGCCGAAATCGTTCTTTACCGTCGGGACGGCCGACTGGTGGACGATAAAGCGGGTGTAGCACTCTTCTGGGTCCCACTCGAAGCCCATGAGGTACGGCTTTTCGAACTCGTCGTCTGCCTACAGGAGGGGGTCAGCTATGCTTCCACACACGATAACCCTAGATGGTGCGGGGTATGAGAGGATCGGCAACGATGCTGGATGGTAAGATGCAATGGATGGGGATACTTACGCGCTTCTTGAACTGCTTGTGGATGGCATCTAGTGCATCCTTGATGGTGACACCTTTCATGTTTCGCGCGGTGACTTCTAGGCCTAGCGGGAAGTGCAGGGCGATGGACTTGAGCTTGGGCTCGGTGAGTGGCATTTTCAAGACTGATGGGTCTTCGACAGTGGATGGTGACTTGTTCAGCTTCCTAGAGGTATTTTGTTAGTACGATGTAAGGTATCGGGGCTGACCGGGGCCATCCGGATGACGATGAGATGCTGGGCGTTGTTGTCGGATGGTTCGCATTAACGAAACAGGAAGATTCACTTACCAATTCAGCTTCTGGGTTTCGATTGCGATCTCAATCTTCTTGCCTTCCTTTTCTGTGCTTTTGTCAGCTCGCCTGCCCCTCACGCACGACCCCTCATCTGGGCCATGGTCACAGGAGCACTCACCTAGATCCTCGATCCGGTAGACATCAGCAGCCATGGAGCTGACTCTGCGGTGGCCCTTCTTAGCGGCGCCATCTTGGTGATCAGTCAAAGAGTCGACCTTCTGAAGCGTGTTTTCTGTCTCTGCGGCCATTGTGGTGATATGCAGTTGCAGCTGAGCTACTGGGAGATTGGGAAGAGTTGTAGATGATGAAAGAGCTTGGGAAGCTGTATGGGAATTGCTTAGAGCTATGGATAAGGGGTGAGAGTCTGAAGCACAGTGGAGGCTGTGAGGAAGAGCAAGAAGGGAGGGAGGGCGCAGCTTATGAGGGGCTCAGTCTGTCGCCGGCAGGCACAGGAGACGGTCACTTGATCGATCACCACATTGTGGTCCAATCGAACCGGCGTGAGACGTGAATGGTCGAGCCAATGCGGGGAAGGGGAGCATCGCCCAGAATGCGGGGAAGGAACAAACGCCAACGGACGAAGCGTGCGTGTACACCAGGTAGCATTGGCTCACAGCACAAGATATACTTTGAAAGCTAGCAATTGAGCCTCCTTCTTCACACTTCGCCTACTCCAGCTATCTGCTTTCGTTGTGCGGCTGTTCCGGAAGATCAGGTACGGTGGTGAGATAGATCGCGTGACCGACGTCATTGCGCTCGGCGACATTGACAAAGCGCGCATCGACGCGTATCATCTCAGCTTCGGGCCCTAACGCGGACCGAGTGTATCAGAGGTCCACTTGATTACTGCAAGGGCTCATGGTCCACGCGGAGGTACATGTCAACATCCGACTGGACTATCCGCCCCTCGCAAGACCATGTGAGGCTGCGTACATGAGGCGCATGCAGCCGAATATTCAACTCTAAAATGAGTCAACTTGAAAAAGCAACATGGAAGGTCGAAATAGCTCAAAATCTCGTGTAATAGTGCGCATCACTGTCTTGCTAGTCACTTGCGTGTACTCGTTCAGAGCTCATCGCGTGACTTGTCTATGAATGTCCAACAATCCTGACGGGCTCGTAAAGCTCTTCGAGGTACTTCTCCTCTTCCTCAGTCAACTCCTTGCCCCTTGCTGCAAGTGCCTCATCCATCCTGTCTACACTCGAGAAACCGATGATGGGACTCGCAACACGCTTGTTGATCCATGCTAGCGCAACATGGCTCATCTTCCAGTCATGCTTCTTTGCAATCTCTTCGACACGGCCGATGATCTTCTTGTCACGCTCGTTGTTACCAGAGGTCTGATTGCCAGCCTTCTGTTCCCCCTCTGAACGAGTGGTCGAGCCGAATGCCGAGGGAGGGCGAGCGAGATGGCCACGGCATAGTGGTGCCCACTATCGGCTGTTAGTGAAGGGACGACTTGATGCTCGAAAATGGTAGCATACCGGAATAAGACCAACGCCAGTGTCATTGCAGAATCGATTCATCTCACGCTCTTCCTCGCGATATAGCAGGTTGTAATGGTTCTGCATGCTGACGAATTTGGTCCAACCATTCTTTTCAGCAGTAAACTGCATTTGCGCAAACTGGACTGCCCACATGGAGCTGGCACCGATGTACCTGACTTTTCCACTCTTGACCAGATCGTGTAGTGCCTCCATGGTTTCCTCGAGAGGTGTATTTGGATCGTAGCGATGGATTTGTAGAAGATCGATATACTCCAGATCGAGACGCTTGAGCGATGCATTGACGGCGTTGAAGATTGCTTGCCGTGACAGACCACCTTGATTCACGTAGTCTTTCAACTGAGGCAGCTCCGTGCCATACTGGATCGTACGTAGACCTGGATCTTCGCCAACGTAACCAAAGCACTTCGTGAGGATGACGAGCTTCTCACGGGGCAAGTCGTACTTCTTGATTGCTTTGCCAACGAGCTCTTCGGAGACGCCATTGGAATAGACATTGGCTTTGCAAGATATCAGTGAACTACGGCAAACGGGCGGACAGCCTATCGGACATACCGGTATCCCAAGTCGTAAGACCGCGATCGTACGCAGCTTTCAGTAGCGGTAGCGACTCTTCTTCTTCAATGACCCAGGGCTGCCATTTAGAGGAACCAATGCTCATGGCACCCAGGATAGGTACTGAGACCTTCAGGCCACTCTTTCCTAGGCGTTTGTATTCAGCCTTGGACTCCTGGAGGAGACCCTGCACATCGAGCTTATCCGGCATGGTCGCAAATCAGTGGATCGCTTGCGGATTGGTGTTTAGTGGGGTACTTGGGTTTCGCAAGGCTGTGGTGGGGCGAGCAACAGAGAGGCGTGAATGAACCACCACATTGTAAGGCGGCACGCACTTCATATACTCTGCAACGACGGCATTTTCTCCGTGTCTGCACCACATACTTCCCAATCGAGTACATAGCCGTCAAGGTCGGGCTTTGCGGCGATAGCTTCATCATTATCCCGGTGGTAGATACTGCAACGAGCTACGATGCGGGGTTCAGGCACGACGTGCCGCCGTGTACGTCATGTGTAAATATCACATCCGCGGACTGTCCAGCTGCCAAAAGAAGGAAGGATGTGCTTGTCGGTACGTGTATATCAAAGGGTGGTTACAACGGTCATCACACCCATCCCGAGTTCAAAATGTGGGGCATGTTGTTTGCACAGGCAAAGCACTAGAAAGAGGCTAGGGGTTCTGAGATGAGCATTCAGCACAGATTTGATTCGTCACCAAGTGCATGATAAGCCAAAGCTCGCCGTGGTGTTGAAGTTCAGATCGTTCATGTCTCTTGGCAAGTACTGATCTTATTGACTTCTCATCACCTCACACTTCATCGTGAATGTGCCGGCGCGATTCCATCAAGTCATGGTGGTATTGTTTGAACATCGTTTTTGATCTTAGACCCCCAGGCGCCAACCGCATATGATGCAGAGAAGTTCATAGATGCTCATTGCCCGTAAAGAAACCCGTACTCCCCAGAACCGTTTACGCGTCCTCGACGATGTTGCCGCGCTCCGACACGTACAGACCGTCCAAGAACTTTCGGATATCCTTGTTGCGGACCTTGCAGATTTGCTGAATGTCGGCGGCACCTTGGGAGACGTCCTCGAGCGACTGGATGATGTTAGCATTGGTTGAATTGGTTGTTGCACCGCAGTTCTTACGTTTCCGGACAGCTCGAGCTGATCCTTCTGGTTCTTCGACGCCTCAACCTCAACACCGGGCCTCATGACAACCCTTCGTACGAGCTTCTCGCCGATGAAGTTTCGGATCTCCACCTCCCAGCAGTCGGTCTCCTTGTTCTTCTCCAGGTTGACGTTGATGGGGAAACTGGGTGTGATGTTAGTCATATCCAGCAATGTGCGCCTGACGCTCAGCATAAGCATATCCATCCTAGTGCTCCCAGCATCTCAACCAGGAGTCCTGCGTTGATTGGTTGGAGAGCCTGGAGAGCAGCGTCGGATGGGATATGCTCTGCGACGGGTTCGGGAGGGATGTGCGGCTGGTGTAACATACTGGGCATATACGTAGCGCATCTTGTACTTGTATCCCTTGGTGACACCGATGATCAAGTTGTTCTATTCCCAGTCAGCCCAGTCCTCCCATGTTTACCAGTGCGGGAATTCGAGGATGCGCGCGACGTACAATCAGGGTGCGGACAGTTCGGAGAGTAGCGACGCTCTTGCGGGAGCCGTGGTGGAGCTCGATCTTGATGACATTCTTCTTGGGGTGCGTGAAGCTGACCGCCAAGTGGCCGAGAGACTTTGTGAGCTTGCCCTGTAGAGTGTAAGAATCGGTTCGAGGTGGTCGAGGCTATCGCGATTGGCTTACTCGGGGACCTGTTGGAGATGTCAGTGTTGGATTCCTTATGCGTCTTCTATCGTGCGCACTCACCCTCAACAAGAACGTTCCTGTTCTTGATGGCGACCTTGACGCCCTCGGGGATGGCGAGCTCTTCCTCAGAGTGGCTGTTTCGCACTTGTCAGCAAAAGTCCTGGATTCTGATGTTTGCTCGTGGTGGAATCTGCTATCGAGGCGCCCATTGACCGGTCGGAAGCGGGAAAATCGTGCGATGCGGCGGTTTGACAGTCGTGTGCTCGGGGATAAACGTACATGTACTTCATCTTGACGGTTGCTGCGGGTTAGCGGTGTTGTCGAGAAGCTGAGGTCGAATTGTTCGAAATTGTGTGGGAGGCAGCGGAACAAAACGATAGCCGAGCCACCGGTCTAGCCCGCTTTTGTGCGCGCTAGCGCCGCCGTGTTCCTCGTCATGGCAAGAACACCAACTTCATGCATTCCGAGGAGCTGCGATTTTAGCCATCGTAGTTTCCAGTGAGACTTGCAAGACTTGGAAATAATTCGTCGCGACAAGTCTACGGCCAGAATGGCACACGGAGACACACACATCGCCCAAACCCTGCTGCACCGCGCCTTCTCCCCCTCGACCGCAGAATCGCATTATCACGAGCGCGTGCTGAAGCGGCCCCTTCACATTCGCGCAACCTCGCCTACACCCTCTGCACGCGCGGTCCGCCGTCGGACCCTTAACGAGATCAAACAGACTGCTCGGAAGCGCAGCAAGAACAAGCCTCGTCCATTGTCCGCTGCGAAAAAGCGTGCACTCTGCCTGAACGAGATTCCCAAGGAGCAGCAAAACTACGCTCTCTATGAGGGGTTGCACAACTTGTGGGCTGGCTATATGAGGGACGTGCTAGGCCTGAGCGATACCGCGCGGAGTGTCCTCGTCACGCCGAATTCGAGTGGACAACTGCTTGCGACTGCCGACATGCACGGGGCGCTCGTGACTGTAGTGCGAAGTCGATGTGTAAGTCGCGTAGGCTTGGAGGGTATCATCGTTCGTGACACAAGGTTCACATTCGAGATCATCACCAAGAACAACTCTGTGAAATGTAAGTCTAGCAAGCAAGACTTAGGTAAGTGGTAAGTATCTGACAAATTCAGCTGTCCCCAAAGAGCACACGATCCTCCGGTTTGAGGTGCCGCTTCTTGAGCAAGATGGGAAGACTCCCATGAAGCCACTTGTGTTTGAACTCAACGCGGAGCAGTTCCAGACAAGAGCGGCTGATCGTGCGAACAAGAAGTTCAGGATGCACTATCAGCCTGACATATGATGGAGAACACACAATACTTTCTGGCCAACATCTCCTTTCTAGAGGGTATAAGCACTCCATCTGATATCCTAGGGATCTCAAAGCTGGCCCTGGCAACGATGACTGAAACTGCAACACCGCTCGAGACTCGGGTAGCAAGCCAGGCAGGGCTGTGCGTCATAGACTGCATCTTGTTGCGCGTACGTTCTCAGTAACTGAGGAAGGTTTTTAATGGGAAGGAGCACTGGGATGCGAACAAGAGTTGATTGACAAGAACAGCTCTAGTGTTTACGAAGAAGCACAGGTCAAAAGATCTAATTGGAGTAGGCATACAGGTGTATCATTGAGCATGGTATCATTCCGATGAACCCTCAAAACGCCATCCCGCTAAATGCAATGGTATCATAAACAGTAACCCTTTCCGTCTCATGTCAAATTTCTATACGTTCGTCGCAGCCCTCCCAGATTGGAAATCCTCAGGTTTGAAGTTTCTCAACTCGGTGCCATGTCCACCGTTACCCCCATTCATCGAACTGATCTCATCCTTCTCTTTGACAGCCCTGCCCTTGTCCAACTTGCATCCCGTATAGCTTCTGGGTAGATAACGACCCGGATGCCACACAGCAAACACGACTAGTACAGCGAGTACTGGAGCAGCGTCAAACACCCAGAAGCACCATTCGTGGCTCTGCAGGTACAATAACCCATAGTTGCGATCATGGGGTATCTCGATAGTACGGTAGAGCGCTCGTAAGGCGATCAAGACCGAGGAGAGGTTTATCGTATATCCCAACTTGCGCCAAAGGTGCAGATCTCCCAAGTCATGAGCAGCCCAGTGCCGGCTAATGTAAAAGTACCGCATACTGATGATAGAGAAACTGAGGAAACACAGCACCTGCAGCACCAGCCCCAAAATCAGGATAATCCTGCCAGGTAGTGCTTGCCGTTCCGACGAAGCGATAGTACGGTTCCCTTGCGTATCTTGGTCGTATTGCCGGCTGATTTGACTCGCGCCCACAAGTTGAATGATAAAGCTGAAAAGGTCAAAGGACACAAAAGTGGCGGTGATGTATCTGGGAAAGCACCACAGCGTCTTGAAGTTGAGTGCGTAGGTTGGGCAGGAAAACCACACAACACGACTGAATGCAGTATAACACGCTGCAGCGAGGAAACTGGGCGCGAGCAGGATCATGAGCCAGGAGGCAAGGAAGGGCGACTCTTTGTGCTCGTCATAGGCAGATACCAGACGGCATATGAACCCCAGGTCGAGCATGACAATGGCGATGATGGCTGCCCAGAAGAAATACGCCTTGAGGCGGATGTACTGGTAAAGAGAATATGCAGAGACCAATAGTACGAGAATCGCCCCTGTTATGGCGAGAGGGTAAGACGGGTCATATATGTAAGGATTCAGGAAGTTTTGCGCTGTCATGAAAGTCAGCCGCCATGTTGTGCCATGTTATCTAGTCGCGAAAACTGGAGACGAACATACCATGTTGAGCCCGATTCGGCAACCCCATGATTGATCGCGCTTCCAAGGCGGCGCTCGTAACTTGCATCCTAGCAGACATGTTCCGCTCCGCTCTGGTCCACCTCTTTTTAAATTCCGACCCAAAATCGTTTGTCGATCACAACAACCCGCAGTAGTGATAGTTTTCGCTCTTTCGCAATGCCGAACCTTTGTCGCTCATATCCTGGTCGCAGTAATGGAGCAAACACCACAACGTCGTTGTAAAGCAGCACCCTCGTCGCAAAGGCGCATAGTCGAATAGCCAGAAAACGAATCCAGCGGGAAAAGGCGAAGCCAGAAATCAGAAGCCCGGCGGCGGTAACGCACGTTTTACCCAGCAGCCCACCTGCGTTCTCCGCTTGCTAAGAGCACTCAAGGCTCTTGGCAGTCCCTTGCCCTTTCCACTCCGCACGCGCGTGTAGCAATCAACCTTTGCTGCGCGTCCCTTTTCCTTGTCATCATCTCCCACGCCCCCATCTCGTCTCACATGTGTTGGCTAGGTACAGCCGGGTAACTTGCGACAGATCAGTCTCTTATGCGAGACAGGAACGGGTAAATCGGTGCACTGCACCATGCGATCTGTTTGTGCAGCCAATATTTACCCGCCATACGCGTACCTGCCTCTGGCATGTGTAGTACAGTACGCAGGCCTACTGTCCTCTTTCACTCTCTGGGTTGCTTGTGGGAGGACCGCGTCACGAATCCACGCACATCATCCGGCGGCGTGGCCTTGGCAAACCAACGAAAGCCATGGCACGTGTCTCTGCCAAGATGTTGGCAATAGGCTCGCTCGCCGAAGTATCCGCATATCGGGGTATCGCGTCTTGCCGTATCGTAGGGCGTGCACTGAGTGTGGTGTTGAAATATCGCCCAAGTGTCTTCGTGGTGTTTAGTCGTTGCCGGCCAAGAGTCACCCCGACGCAGGTATAAGCCGTGGCATTGCTTCGTTGCGCGATATTGTTATCGGATATTTCGGCCTCGACACCGTATGCTTTAGTTAATCTTTGCGATGTTATCCTTGTCAATGGCCTGCAGGACGCTGGTATGAAACTGAGGCGTGGAAATGTGGCGCAGGCGCTTGTCAAACATAGCGTACAGGCGCGTCCCGGCAGCCCGCGCAAGCGGAAGAAGACACCCCCCTTCGCGATCGTTGCAACTTGTCGCGCACTGAGGGCGCAATGAGTTTGAGGTAGCTTCTTAGTATGTTCTCATTGAACCTGCAGTTTTTCGCTGACCCTGAGATACGTGCGTCCACGGCAAATCTTACCATGTTTGGAAATACATCGTGACTTTCCCTTTCTGAAATCTTACTTCCCAAACTAAAACATTGTCAATTTTCCATTGTCCTAAGCGGCTCGACACGAGATCAGACTACGACATTCTGGACTACTGTTTCATCAAAGTCCTGCCACGAAAACACATCGGCTCGTCCCTCGACTACTTTTCTACTCGTCGTCGAAATCGTCATCGGAAGCATCTTTATCCGCGCTCGCCTTGTTCCCTCCAAGGATCTCAACCTCGTCCTCGTCCTCGTCAAGACCCAAGCCCTTCTTCAACCATCGCACCTCCTTTGGCTTCCTCTCCATCCACAGCTCGTTTGGGATCCAAGTGTATAAGCTACACATAGTCTCCTTGATGTCGTCGAGAATGGTGAGACCACCAGAAAGGAGCAGGATAGTGGCATCCATCTTCAGGCCCACGAAGCAGTCCTCAAGAATGCTCTCCTCGATCCAAAACTCGTAATCTTTGCCATTGCCAGCTTTCCGTGGCTTACCGTTGGGGTACTTGGTTTTATCCTTGGGTAGATCGTAGTCGTCGCAGTCGTCCGTGTGCCAGGTCTTGCAGGAAAGCTTACCGAGGGGTCCAAGCTGTCCAAGCTTATGTTTGAAGGCCTCGCTCTGCACTACATATGCAGACTTGGTATCGCTGTCGGGAAGAATGATGGCAGTGACCTCAAGGTAGGCAGTGTCCTTGCCGAGAACTTTTAGCTGCCCAGACTCAAACATGTCATATTGCGCCTCCGAACCCAGAACAGCGATGCCAGTGCCGAACTTGATCCTGGCTTCTTCGTCCCGGATACCAATTTCCACAACCGCCAGGCCTTCCTTCTTCAGATCCTCCGCCCAGGACTTGTTACCAGTATACATACCGGCCTGGGCACCACCGAATAAGACGCTAGCAGATTTGTTGAAATCTCCGGGCAGGGCAAGACCTAGAGAGTTGACTTTTGGAAGCTCCTGCTCAGCCTGATCGCAGATTTGAAGTGCAGTGGCAAGCTGGTCATCGAATTCGGGACAGACACGGTGAAAGCGAAGATACCCGAGGAAGGAACGGGGAACTTGGCAAGCATTCTTGATAGCATACGACGCATAGCCATAGTGGGCGGGATACCAAGATGATCTGTTCCAGTCAGTATCGTGTCAGTGGAGCAAAGGGTAAGATGAACCTACAGGAAGGCTTTGCAGAGAGCTACAAAATCTACGACCCACTTGTTCTCATTAGAGCGGTCCCAGGGTACATTGTGGACAGCGAGAGCCCTTGCAAGTTCCTCAGGACCCATCTCATTCATCTCGTGCTTGGAAAGCCCTTGATACATGCGAGGACCAGACTCTACTCCGCCAAAGCGCATGAGCTTGTTGAAGACATGTGCATACATTTCATGCATGCGACGCTTTTGCTTGAAGCGCTGGATGGCGATCTCGATACGTTCGACAAACGGTTTGGTCAGAGCGTACACCTCTTCTTCCTCGGCAGCTTCCACAGGGGTGAGAACAGGCTCAATGTAGGCCCTCTCGAACCCAGTAGCTTTGAGCATGTTCTTAGACACCCCTTCGGGATACTTTGCCTTTGTTTGTGGCAGTAGTGGTCCTGGATACTGAGCCGGCTGCTGCGCTTTCGCCTTTCGAGAACCCGGGGCGTAGGCAATATCGTCGTCATCTTCGGCATCGAAGTAATCTGGATCGAGGATATTCTTTCCAGTCAAAGGTACCTTACGCTTGATGGTCTTTCCGTCAGCAGACACTTCCAGGAAGGCGCTCAAGCGGAGAGCTGCAGTAACGAGAGTCTTGGGCTTGTATTGGCGCATCCTCTGGAAACTGCGAATGCGACTGATCGAGACGGGTAGATTCTCGCGTCCACCACAGCACTGTAGTAGGTGTTTATCTGTGGGAAGGTTTTCGTCGGAGAAGTAGAACTCCACCTTGGAGGGAGATTAGTGTGGCCGCATGACTGACTAAGAGATCGGAGACTGGTGAACTTACTTGACGACGAATCTCAGCACCATCTGGATGGTCTTCAATGGCAGAGGTAGCAGTACTGTTGCTAGAGGCTTCATCGGTAGGTCCTGCATCCTCAATGGGTGCTGTGATCGCGGTCGCCATATCTGCTGCTTTCTGCACTGGGTATTGGCAAAGATGGAATTGATGTGCTTAGAGAGGAGGAAGGGGTGCAATGGGCAAGGATCGTGTGTAGAGAGTTGATGCCGTGGTGGGGCGACAACAAACAGTGCCTTCCGAGATGGTGGGTAACTGCGTTTGCATCTTGAGGTAAGAGCGCACGAATACCCAAGACTGGCCGTCGCAACTTCCGATTTCGGGTATCTCGTACTCTCACGCGCTTTCACGGTGAGTCCATGCCCAGTAATTTGATATTTGCGCATTGAAGACTAAGTCAAGGTGAGATGGTGGTTCTTGCTAGCGGCGATGAAGAACAATCGGTCGAGGCACATAGCGATGGGTATCTGTTGCAGTAACTTTCATGATGGGCCTCTAAATGGGGAATAATAAGAACAAAACCTGGATGGCATAAGACATAGCCTTGGAGTCGTACAAAACCAATGGATTGTGCTTAATTAGCGCGAATCGTGATACCCTGGATGACGGCATTGGCTGACTCGCAAAGGACCCTGAAACACATGTCGTGGGGCCTCCAGCCTGCATACCATGTATCTTCCACCTGAACACCAACCACGCGTACGAACACGTTCATAACATAGCAAGACTCGCTATACAATCCGAAAACCATGGCAACCAAAGCATATGACGCGTCTAATCTGAAAGCATATGGCAGTGCTGCTGCTGGTCAGTAAGTGCCTTGTTGCCTGCCGCCTGTCAGCCTCCCCGCCCATACTAACACCACAACCCAGCGATGGTGTCCTCAGCGACGAGTCTGGTGGTGTAGTAGTAAAGCCCTGCACCCTTGCAGAGATCAACTTCTACGAGTCCCTCACCGATCACCCGGACCTCGCGCGTCACCTCCCCACCTTCATGGGCCAACTCTCCCTCTCAGCCGACCAAGCCGCCGCTACCGAGTCTGTCGAAAGCGGCACCATACAAACGGCCGACGGTACAATTGAGCGTTTGCATGGCAAGAAACTCGCTACAGATCTTCACATCGTGCTAGAGAATATTACACATGGGTTCAAGAAACCGAATGTTCTGGATCTGAAGCTTGGCGCGCAGCTGTGGGATGAGGCTGCGAAGCCGGAGAAAAGGGCGCGTCTAGATGCCGTAAGCAAGGAGACCACAAGCGGCAGTCTAGGGTTTAGGATAGCGGGTATGCGCACGTACAAGGGTAGTGATGTACCCGACATCCCCGAAGACTTGAAGAAGTATGTGGAAACGGACAAGGAAGGCGGATATTGGGTGTACAACAAGATGTATGGACGCAAATTCAGCGCTGAGAACGTGAGTGAAGGCTTCACAGACTACATCTTCCCTGGCGCAAAGTCAGAAGCAGAGCTCGATCGGGCGAGGGAGGTGCTTGCCTACTTTCTGGGGGAGGTCAAGGACATCCAAGAGGTTTTCGAAAGCAAAGAGAGCAGGATGTACAGCGCAAGCATACTACTGGTATATGAGGGTGACGTAGACGAGTACGCAAATACCAAGCAGAAGCTACGATCTGCACATCCGGAAGATGAGGATGAAGACGATGAAGAGACTCTGCCTAAATTGGCCGAAGTCAAGATGATTGACTTTGCGCACGCGACATGGACACCGGGGCAAGGGCCGGATGAGAATGCGCTGCAAGGTATGAGGAGCACGGCAAAGATATTGAAAGAGCTGTTGGACAAGGCGCAGCATGACTAGGGGCAGATGAATAGTTCATTTGGTGGGAGTGCAATGTATAGACGAAGTATATCTGTGAGTACAGCTTCGACGTTTTGGTCAATCGAACCATTGCCCGTCGACCTCTTGTTGTTTCAACGGTTTTGGTTTTTAAGCACACCACATAGAAAGCCAGCGCACTGTCGCCGAGGATGATGATTGAACACGTGGCACTTATACTATCATAATCCCTCTCCATGTAGAAGCAAATGTGGAACATGTGTCACAGACACGATCATTGATAGAGGCAATCAGATTCCCAGTAGTGTCTCTTCCCAATCACCCACTCCCTTCATCAACGAATCAAAGAACGCCGCATCTACACCCTGGAACGCCCAGTCATTCGTTCCTGCGGTCAGTCCAGGATAGTGTTGTGGCGTATTGAAGACTGTATCAGAGGACGTCAATCCAGACTGCAGGGTCTGAAAGTTCTGTGTGTTGGGCTGTGCTGCAAGGAGGTCGGATGATATATTATCGCTAATGTCCCGACCAAAGGTGGAAAAGACATTATTCTCGACAGCCATCAGGTTTGAGGACGACGGACCAACAAGCATGTCCGCACCAGGAGCCTGCTGACTAGGCCCTTCTTTCGTGATGCCTTTTGTACAAATCTTGATAATTCCAAAATATGGTATCGAGAGCTGAAACTGCTCGCCGCAGCCCTCCTCAAGCCGATCGACAGTGCTCTCACCAGTATGACTCGACCCACGTGCAGCGTCGCTTTCAATCTCGAGCAAGCTCCGAAGCTGCTCAGCACTTTTGCCTGTGAGGGGTTCGTTCGTCTGCGTCGAAACCACTTCCAATTTTTCGACAAGCTGCTCGACCATGGCGCGGTCGCCGGGTCGTTGATGTACTAGAAAACTATGATCTTTCCAGCGACAGCTGTCTATGTGCGCGATCAAAATCGTCATCCCGGCCATGAGCGCGAAGAAGTCCGCTGTGTGACATGACTGGGTCGAGATTGGTCGAAAATTTTGAAACGCGACAAATCTTGTAAGAACGTCTCTGGCCGCATTGATACAGGTTATCTTGGCGTACATATGAAAATCTGAATCCTTGCCGCAATGTAAGAGGAAAGGCAGGTGCAGAAGATGAAGCAAATTGTACTGGTAAAGCTGATCTCGGAGCCGTATTAGCTCCTCAAATGCTTCCTTCGTGCTGGGTTGCAGCCTAGTGAAACTTGGTGCAAGCCAGTATTTGTCAGGAAGGGATTTTGTCACGTTCTGGAGGTCGCGATCCAGTTTGCGGGTAGCCTCAATGTTTTGATGCGGATCTCCTCGGTTGCGGTCAACGATACCACGTGCGATGAGGGTATGTGCTCGATCGATTTTGCAGCTCAGGCTCTCTCCAGGGACAGGGACCTCCATGTTCGTAGTCTGGCCTCCATGGGGCAGACCGAGCATCAGGCTCAGATAGCTGTCCATATGAACAATTCGAAACCATAGGAATTTCGGACCCACCCTATGCTTATTCTCTAAGAAACTGATCGGTGGAGGGTTGGGTGTATCCAACCTCATCAACTGCGCAAATACCATGGCTCTTCTGAAAGCTATCCACGATCGCCGAAGGTTGCCGGCGTTGGATTGGAAGATGGCTTCGTATATTATACACTCCAGTCCTTCGATACAGCCTACTAGTTGATCGTTGGTGATGACCATGCGAACAGCCGTATCCACCATGCGCACGGCGAGAGCATTCGGGTCTCCAGATAGGCGATCGGCTCCGTTACACCGAAAGTACTGCAGCATGAGGGCTAGAATAAGCATATGCCTGGCCATAAGAACTGGGGGTGTAGTAGAGGCATCGGGGACCGTGGCCAATTCGTCGACAATGTCGAACGATTCGTGCTCTAAGAGGTTGCTGGATCCCGTGAGACATTTGTAGCTATACAAGGTCGCGCTGCGGTCCGATCTGCATAGGAGATCGAGGTCTCGCTGAGCAGGAAACGTTTGACGTAGGCCGATCGAGATGTTTTCACCGTCTTCTGCCTGCAGAAAGTTTTGTTCCGGTGTCAGTGCAGCAGAGCCGGGTGTCGGAAGTTGCACAAAGTCGATTGCTGCTGAGTCGTGTCTTAAGTCTTCAGATTGCGCAAGTAATGTTTCGGCTTTTCGCAGGCGCTCAAGGAGTTGTTCATAAGAGAGAGCAGGAGCTGGATAGGTCCTGTTGACCCCATCGCCTGAACGCAGCGATGTTAATGACGGGCTGCTATCGTCCTCCTGAAGAAGGACTTCATCCGGCTGGTCCTGGCGAACACATGGCGCGTTTCGACGACGACAAGCTACACATATTGTATCTGATGTTGCATCGAATGTGCATTTCACTTTCCGCTTTTTGCAGTCCCAACAGCTTGTCGTGCCCTTTCGAAGTTTGCGCCGCTTGCTGGGAGGCTCAAAGCTGCTCACGTCGGTGTCATTGACAGCCGGCCCCATGGCAACCAACGCTAGCCTGATTCGGTGGCAGGTACGATTCCTCCACTCAAGGAGAGTAATCCGAAGTCTGGCAGAAGCACGCTAGTGAGGGTGTGATGAATCTTGCGATGGAATCGAATGCGAAATTGTTGATACGAGACCAGTTTGACACCTAAGGTAGTACGGGGGACAGTGACCGAGCCACCTGCAGCTCGGCGGAAGAAGCCTCGGACTCCGAACATGTCGCTAAGAGGCCAGCGAGAATGGGAAATGTGCCTCTGGGTCTGGAGGCCTGATTTGTACGGCAACGGTCATTGGTTGCTGAAAGGCCAATCACACAGCAGCACAAGGTCTACCATGCAAACGAGTCAACGCAGACATGGGCGTATTCCTGGCTGTACGAAAAGGCCTCAGTGGCGTTCTGTGAATTGATCGACATCTAAACTCTATGAGACTAATCTTAGAAGGTTGTAAACATTACAAATAACACACAAGTGCAGGGGGACGCTACCTGCCCATGTAGCTAGGATGATGAACCTCCTTGAAACACAATCTATATTCCTCGATAGGCAACGAAGTACTAAACAAATGCCATCAACGTGTCCTTCGACTCTAGCAAGCCCCCGTGCTTAAAGATTACGCAGCTCCGGCCTGAACCTTCTCCATGTTGAGCTTCTTGAAGGGTGTAAGTGCGGCAGCTAGGACCGCTACACCCGCCAAAGCGATCGCAATAGCGAGTGCGACTTTTATTCCTGCCATGTATGCCACCACAATGCCCGGTATATCTTCAGTACTGAATGTCTGTCGAAGCTGAGTAGCCCCGGTTCCGATTACCGCCTGCGGATCCACGTTTGGTGCTGTGATCGCAAGTGTGGTAATAATGCGATTTACGAAGCCGGACTGGGCAGCGGTCAACGAGAATGCGCCGCCGATGGTTTGAAAAACTACAACACGTTAGTCCTTTCCATTGGTATATGTTTTTAGGGCGTACAAAAGACTGTTGCCGTCGCCGAGGACATGTCCTCTATCGTTGCGTTGGCCTGAGCTGTATTGATGGCCATCTGAAAGCCCAAGCCCACTGCGATACCATAAAGAGCCTGGTATCCTATCCATTTGCCTAGTCCAGTGCCGATGTCAAAAGTATACATCAGACCAGTAGCGATAGTCGCTAGGATAGCGCCTGCATTCATGAAAGGTGCAGCATAGCCCGTCTTCGATACAACACCGCCACTAATGATGCTGCCTATCACCATTGCGAGGACCAAAGGAAGGTTGAGTACACCCGAGTTGATTGCGCTTCGGTTGTCAACGCTCTGGAAGTAGATCGGCAGATAGTACAGTAGTACAAGATACGCCGACGAATAGAAGAAGATGAAAGCGGATGGCTGCCACAGGGTGCGCTCGCGGAGAAGACGGGGTGGAAGCATCGAGCGCTCGCCATTGGTGATCTCCCATACGATGAAGGTGACAAGAATGGCCACGAAGCCTACCTAACATACGGATATACAAAGTCAGTATATGTCTCAAATTCAGTTTGTACAGTAACAACTTACCAACAGGCCGATGACAAGACTGCTGCCCCAAGACTTCTTCTGGCCACCGTTCTCGAGTGCCAGGATGTACGCGACGATGCCACCCATGACAAGTGCGATGCCGAGAGGATCCATTTGCAAAAATTTCTCTTTCCAAGTCGCTTTGACGACGACGACTTGCGGTGGGGTCTTGTAGGTGAACAATATCAGGGCTCCAGAGGCTCCGCCGATAGGAAGGTTTATGTAAAAGCTATGCCATCATCAGCTGGTGAATAGAAAATCTATGGTAACGTGCCTCATACCACCATCGCCAGCTCACCGTGTCTGCAAAGACACCTCCCAAAAGTGGACCGACGACGCTAGATAGACCGTATACTGCACCAACAAGGCCCATAAGAGCTGGTCGTCGTTTTGGCTCGGCAGACAATGCAGCCATAGTGAACGCACCCGTTACTACAGCGGCAGAGCCGACACCAGCGATTGCGCGACCCACGACGAACGTTGTCGAGTTCTGAGCCACGGCACAGACCAAGCTTCCAATCTCGAAGACGAAGATGGCCCCGAGGAATGACCACTTGAGCGGAAAGTAACGGTAGAATTTACCAGATGCGGATTGGAAACCACCAAATGTCATGAAGTACGCGGAGCCATACTAGAGTAAGTTAGAACCATGGAATTCGAGTCCGTATTACTAGAGTATTAAACTCACCCAAGAGACCATGTTGAGGCCCTGGAATTCATCGGTGATCTTGGGAATAGCAGTGCCAATGATGGTCATGTCTAGAGCAGTAAGGAATACTGCACATAGTACAGCGATCAAGATGGGAACTAGCCGCATGCCACTAGGATACTCCTCTTGAATTTTGTTGGTTGCATCGTCGTGAGTAGATCTGACTTCCTCCATATCCTGCTTGTACTGCTGCTGTTCCTTCTCTTCCGCGAAAACATCCGGTGTGGTAACACCACTAGTACACTGCGTAGCTGTATCAGACGCAGCTGATGTTTTGGTTCTATGCGAGTCCATTGTATGTGTTTGTGGTAGTTGAGCTTGCGGAGTATAGTCAATATCTGTATTAGAAATGGAAAGGTGTCGTGGTAACAGCCGCCTGGAAGTTGATAAACAATGTATGCGAACTCCTCCTACATATACCATCCTATAGATGAAAGCATCCGTAATATCTGTGACCGACCCGAGGTCTTGGCACGCTCTTCCTCCGAGCGCTTCGGAGGATGGAGGTCAGTATTCTTCATTCCGCCGAGATGCGCCAAACAATCCCAATTTCGAATATGGGTTGTATTCGGAGAACGCGTCTTTGCACCGCGCAGAACAGCGGCCAATACCACGTGGTAAGACCAACATGCGACTGGTGGATGGAGGCGATTAGTCAGCACTCCATTGGGTCCGGAAGAGACACTTGTTCCACTTCGCACCACTCTCATTCCGATAGCCATGTCGCAATTCTCTCCATCAAAGGTGCTCCTCCCACTATACATTTACCCACAAGTTGGCGCATGGGATCCTCTTTACACAGCGTAGCTTCCCCCTGCTATTAACCTACTTCTCACTGATCTCTCTCAGCGTCGCCGCAAATCCGTGTGTTCGATTTGTCGTCATCATCAATCCAAATAGTGGGCCAGGTGCAGCACCGTGGTGGCCGAATGAGGACTATGTTCGGGAGATAGCACGGCTAAATGCATTGCCGAATGTTACAACCCTGGGCTATGTACGGGTAGCCTATTGCAGACGACCGGTTCAAGACGTTCTAGAGGACATCGAAACATACAGTAGAAGAGCCAAAGAGGATGACCATTTGAGGGTCGAAGGTATCTTCGTCGATGAGACGGTGAATTTGTACTCAGAAGAGGCTAAGAAGTACCTCGATGCTATCGATCGCAGAGCGCGAATTCTTATTGGTGTCGTCGAGAACAAAATGGCAAGTCTGAACATTTTCTCAAACAAGGCCGAGCAATCCGAGCTGATAACGCCCAAGATGATTCATAATCCTGGTACAGCAGTAAGCGCTGAGCTTGCAGCACCTGGGCCCGAGATTACGGTGGTTGTAGAAACATCCTACGAGGAATTTATGACCGAAGGATACCAGGAATGGCTTTCTACTTCGCCGTACAAGCGTGCTCGAACTGCGTACATAGTACATTCTGTTCCACAAGGAGAGGTGAAGGCTCTAACGATAGCGCTTTGCGAGCGAGCAGAGTATCTGTTTGTAACAAGTGCGTTCTGCGGCTTCTACGAGAGTTTCGCTGGAAGCTGGCATGACTTTGTCGCATCGCTAGCGGAGCGGCGAAAGTAAACACGTTGGACATCTTGGACATCTGTAGAGTTGTGGAGCAATAGTACTGAGAAATTGTAAGTGGAACAAAGCTCCACAAATCCTCTTGTCGTGAGTAGATGCCCTACGCTGTCGGAATGGTCTCACAACACGAATTCGACTGGTACCGCGATACCGGGGGCTTTTCGTAAATCTGGAGAATTTCAGGACCCCAGTCTTGGATGTGTTTTGTCAACACTGTGATACTCTACACTGGAGCGTGGTGTCTTGCTCCTGTAGGGCCTCCTCAATAGTAGCCCAGATCCTACATCGGTTCCAAAAGCCGTCAGGTACATCAAGTAGGCGGTCATCGCATCCACTTATCGAAAAGCGTTTCGTCGCAAGAAGCTTTGCAGCAACTTTCCAATCCCAGGATGCAGTCGGATCTAAAAGCGCTGCATTAGGATTAGATAGATGGTGCTCGATCCACTTCGTGTCTAGATCCCAAATATGCGGATGGAGACTTCCTTCCCGAAGACTATTCCGCCAGAACACAGAGTCGAGCGGAATCCGCAGAGCGAGTGCTTTCGATGTGCGATGTAGTGCGATGACGGATTGTGTTGGTAGATAGCTGCAGATAGCGTCCATCATTTCTGTAGGAAGACGCTCCAGTCTCTGGGGTTCACGTGTTGCTTTCAACACGTACTCTGGCTCATCTCTTCTACGTGGCGAGCTTTGCAATACCCTTTGAACAAAGGACGCAGTACCTTTCCCATCGATGGGGTCGGTATAAAATTTCTATATATCATCAGTGGTCCGCTTCAGAAACGTACTGTTGCACCTTACATCATATTTCCCACCCCACCAATCCAGTTTGCTCAAAGCTAACACGCTTCTAGCACCATATTCCGAAGAAGAGGAGCATAGATCGAAGATGTCGTTTGATGTCTCGTTTGGTTCGTCTGTGCAGCATTTCCGTTGGTTGAAGCGAGTACTCAGTAGTCGATACAATATCTTGAGAGTGGGTTCTAGTCCAACCTCCCTTCTTGTCGAATAACGATGCTCTATAACTCTACAACTCGTTACGATGCATCCTTCATGCAACGGAAACAATGTTCCATGGTCGCCTGTGTAAGAAAGAGCGTCGAACCAGATATCATCTTGTCCAGCGTCGTCGACAATCCGAAAGTAGCCCGAACCAGTCAAGCTGAAGGATGCAATTTCTGAGAGATAAATATCAGGCAGTTCGGAAACGTTGACCGGGCTTCTCGGAACTTTAGCTGAAGAAGAAAAAGGATGAGCGTGGCTTCTTCTTACATCGACCCCTCGCTGGCTACCATGTGTTCGGCCACGTCGGCCATGCTACCAAGTAGACGAAGGTTGTTCAACCACTGTGTTTTGTATTGAATTAATATTTCGCAACAGCTTCCTCGGGGGATGTTTTACCTGAAACCGGATGTCTTTGGGATCGATGTTGTATACATCGCCTTCGATATCGAACGGGCCGCCACATACGACGCAAAAGGTTCCTGCCTCCATGGCATGTCGAGCGTCGCTCTTCCAGACCTCTTCGACCTTCGAAGAATGTAGACCGCCCATGTTAGCACTGTGCGATCGGATTGTAGCAGGTGCGGATCTAGAGGGCGACCGAGGTTATTGATCCGCAAGATGATAACGCCCCGTTCCATTCACCTAATTTAGTCTGACAGGAGGCTACTTTCGCGTCCCGTTGAACGAATGCTGTCGAAGCAGATGTGAGACGCCAGATTGGATGTGTGGCACCGGATAGGTCCGTCGCGATGGATCGATGACGGTAGTCCATTCCGCCGTAACCTAAGGAGGTATAGCGCTTCTATAGCGCTCCCCACCACTTCCGAAGCGGGCTGAGATGGCTGACTAGTGGTATTCTTGTCCTACAAATAGAGGGATGTTTGTCATATGCGCATTTGTGATAACGTTCATTATTGGTTTGGTTTCGCAATCAAGAACGTTCATCTTTATCAACGATGGCGTGTGCACGGAGCCCGGAATTCCGACAAGCACATCCGAAGCGGCGGAACACCGCTTATTCTTGGAACAGAACATGGAAACCAACACTTATCATGCGACTTGTACGATTAGGCAGTCTCTATGAACTCGACTCATTCTTTGTACATCATATACTCGCGACCATAGTCTTCCTCCTCCACGGACAGGTCAGAAATATCGTCCATTACTAACTGAGTGCTATTCCTAATCAGTCCTGTTAACCAAGGATACATCTCTGGCGATCTTATCTCGTTCGCTTCTGCGTGGTGGAACTCAGACACGGACCTCTCGCCTGGCTCAAGCACATACTTGTGCCCAGCCCAACGTATGCGAGGCTTTCCAACGTATGGACGCCAACCATGGGATGTAGTCTTCATGAGTCCAGGGAACAACATCGCAACACACCACTGCAATTGTCTGCTATGAGCTTGATCTTTTTTTCTTTTTTTTTCTTTTTTAAAAAAAAGTTCTTATCTTCTGTTTCGAGCCACCTTATATGTCTTCCTCCAACCTTCCATCGCCCAGCACTCGAGGAAGCAATTCGCAATCGAGAGTGTGTGTGTATGAGGTCCGGTAACCTTCATGTCCCACCACCAGGATGACAGCCACAGAAGCTCAACGTGATTTAAGAATGCATAAAGCTACCCGAGGCCGAAGGACCAGCACAACTATCGCGTGGCGTTTTGATGACAACGCCCTCTTAGATCCATTTCTCGAAGCTGCACCGGTCACCAGGTGCACGCATTCCATGATATCTCTCGTGGTATCGTGTATCACTTCCTGCGGTCTTGTTCTGCACGCCCTGGCCATCTGTCGCTCTGCTGAAGTCATCCATCTCGTAGGAACCACCGGGCGCATCCCTCTTCTTTTCCGTTCCAACACGACCTCCTACCGGCGTTCCCTTGCGCTCCTCTCTACGTGGAAATAGATTTGCGTTGTACGTCTGTAGCCTGGTACCGCCAGGACTCGCGGTTCTATTGTGTCCTGGCAAAAACGATACGGGAGGCGGCTGAGTCAAATCTTCGGCTGAGCTGTTCAGGGAGTTATGTCTGAGTACGGAGCGAATATTTTCCTTCGAAACGATACGGGCTATATTGCGATCGGACTCATCGCGCACAAGTTGCTGAGGACGGAAACCGCTGACATAATCCCGAGTACTATTCTGTCGCACGGAACCCTCAGAGGGAACGGACGGAATAAGCTCGTCCATCGCCGGCCATGCGGTTGCTTTAGGCGGAGAAGTGCCTGGCCAAGGAAGAGGCTTAGGTATCCCCCTGAGATGGCTGTCCTTTACGCCAACACGAAGATCGCCAGAATACGGAGCTGGTTTGATGGGAACGGGTACCCTTGTAGCTGGCTTTGCAGGCTGAATGCGTTGCGATTTATCAGTAGCGCCTTCACGTACAGTGTGAAGCTTCGTCAACGAGATCTCGTCATCCCAACCGCTGCCTTCATAGCTGGGCACCCGAACATCTGCGTAAGCCCTGCTTCCTAACACCTGTGGTGTAGCCCGCTCTTCATGTTGGTACTGACGGGGTAATGGTTGCGGTGCGGCACCCATATGGCCCTTGGACGAGAACTCTGACACATCCGTATCATGGTGTGTTTGTCCGGTCTGGGGGTTGTGTGACAGGCTAGAAGAATCTAAGTGATGGGTTGAATTGAAGACGTTTTGCTTGGATGGCTTGTGCTCTGGATGGGGGCGTGGCCATGGTGTGACTGTGATCGTATCGGAAGGTTCCAATGAAGCAAGACTCATGCAACTCTCACCTAACGAGAGGTCTCGGGCGCTAGACGCACGGCGAATTGGACCTTCACCAGGGATATGGATTTGCCGTGTCACACCGTGCAACGGACTCTTCGGCTCTTCCTTTGACGCCGTTCTAGACATGCCACGAGACAGCGAGCGACGAATACTATCCGAGTATCTTTTGATCGGGCTTTCGTTACCGTCTCTGTTTCGTTTGCTGTGGTATTCGGTGGGAGAGCCCTTCTTTATAGGGCTCCGACTACCGTGCCGGTTCACCATCTGGGGCTGGAAACTCTTCACTTCACCATTGGTCTCCGCGGCCTTCCTACGGTCTGCTCGTGCTCGTTGCTCATTCAACCACTCCTCCATCTTGTGTTTGAACTTGGGTCGCTCAACCAAACCGCCGTACTGAGGATACACGTCGCGAAGCTCCTTCTCGGTGTCGTCGTAGTGCTTTCGTGTAAGCATGCCGGCCCCTTGAACACGCTTTTGAAATGTATCGCCATCATCGCGGATGACTTTCTTCGGTAAAGAAATGATGCGGTACGGAGTGGGCGATATCAGGCTTCCTTCAGGTACTATCACATTGCCCTTTGGGAATGCAAGACCAGATGGGCATCGTTCTTCGATGTAGAGTGCAAGGCGACCGTAGTGTCGTCGGCCTCTGATGCTGTAGGAAGTACGGACTGCGTCAATGATCGGTACGAAGACCGCTTCCCAGGCAATGCAGATGTTGCGAAGCTCAAAGTAGTCAAAGCCCCATGGGTTGCGTGATTTACCAACCTTGAATACCTGCAGCAGCCAAGCGAAGAGATGCTTCTCGTACGCCTGCACATTCCAGTTGCTCTTGTCGATCACACCATCAATACTTGATTCAGTTGTGTACTCCCCACTGTACTTGTTCGCACGTGGATCGTACCGGCGTATCCCTTCATCGAACTGTGTATAAAACCACAATAGGTCTGTGCGCGAGATGCCATCCTCCCGGTCTTCTCTAGCTATCGTTGTCGCACGAGGCATTGCATCCGGTCGCAACAGGAAGATCGAATCGCGGAACACAGCCCACGGCTCTAGAAATGCAGCAGTTGCGAGAAAGCGCTCTTCGAGGCTGTCGAGGCCGGATAGTTGCAACAACGACAGTGCTTGTTTGAGCTCCGGAGAGATATTTTCCCTATCGCCGCGTGCAAAGAAGTCGCGTACGTTTTTGATCCCTGAGTTGGATGGAGAGTGCGCCATCTCGACTTCGATTATGAGCGCGCCAATCACGGCTTTTGGTCGTGGTGATGGTCAATCTGTGTTGCTGCTGTTTGATAAGAAGTAATATCTCTAGCGCCGTTCTCTTGCCGAGAACAAGGTCTTTAGCCCTCTATTGCGCCTCAGTTAATGCGACTAGATGCGGAGTATACTCGAGTGACAATGGTATGAAATCTGGTGGCAGCCTCACCTTCACTGCGATCCGACAGCCCACCGTCGCTCCACTCAAACCACCACTGATACTGTGCTCAGTCCAGTGATTGGAGGATCACATACGGGATCCTTGCGCAACCAACAACTATTTCGTACTAGCAAGCCTCTTTCACGTGTAGGATCACTACAGCTCAAAACAAGTACGGGTATGGTCAATGCGCATAGAACAAACACTGTACTATCTTTCTACGACTCTGATTATATGCTTGCCTCTGTTTCCACTAGCTTAAAGTCTTTCACATCTTGCTTCACGCTTCTGTTCCTATGAATACCTCCTCAACCGTACGTATGACAACCAGGATGAGTCTCATATACCTCCCAATCTTCGCGGCAGCTGCCATGCAGGTCCTAGGGGTGGTTGTTCCTCAACAACCGCCTATCTTCTCAGGCCCATGCGCCGTCCTACCCCCGTCTAACAAGACTGAAAATCGAAGCTATGATGGGGTACAATCAGGCGCCTCATCTATCTGGGGTCACGAGGGCAGCGGCGGACCGAAGAAATGGACAGACCTCTACGTCAAGGGTCTCACCGTCATACCATATTGCTTTCCGTAAGTTTTCCTGCATGCTGACTGGCAGCCTGTCGTCCGAGACAGCCATTCCACCGAAACCCTATGAAAATTAGCATTGGTTCAAGATACCCTGCGTCATCAGTTTTCCTGCACTGACTGCATATGAGACACACACTGACTTTGCATGCCTAAATTTAGTACCGAAGAACATCGCAAAGCCAACATTGCGAAAGTGGAAGCAGCCACCGAACTTTGGATCACGGCGCTTGGTGGTAAGGCTTCGGAGGCTAGTGGTCATAAGATCATGTTCTCGGAATGGATTGATCCTCGGAAGAAACCCATGTACTGCATCGACGTGAACAGTCCATTCGATAGTAAGTGGAACATGGCTGTTCCATACAAAACAGTCGCCATCTGGAAGGATGATCGTGCGGGAAAACGCGCCGCATCATCTACTGTGGGAATGGGTGATTCTCCTGGGAAGCCATGGGATTTGGACATGTGGCTTGGCGAAGAGGCTAGCGTTCAGACCATAGCACATGAATTCGGCCATGTCATGGGTACGTAAACAGCCATCCAAAACTTGAAGGTCGTGAAGCTAAAACAGTGAAGGAATGATGCACGAGCAACAGTAAGTGTCTCTCTACGAACCGCACGTGAGACATATGCTGACTTCGTACACCCACAAATAGACGATCCGACCGCGATACATATGTACGCTACGACTGCATGAAGGTAGATTGCGACTGTTCAAGATGCATGGAGATATGCGCTAACTCCGTACTTCCACCTCTACAGCTCACAGATTACTCCATCGCTCTCGCACGTGCTCGCGAATCTGACCCTAGTGTGACGACTGCGGAGCTTTGTAATGACGTCAACATAGCTGCCAAATATGAATTTAGCGGTCGCTCTTTCACCAAATCCGTTCTCTATGGGAAATCCAAAGACGGATGGATGCTGAATCTCGATACGCCGTACGATGTCAACAGTAGGTATCTCCTAGCCAAAAGCTTATGTGAGTCATTTTCTGACCTCGTACATCGAATTTAAGGCATTATGCACTATAATAGCTACATCATGGGTAATGATAAGTGTCAGAGAGGCAATCAAGCTGAGTGCCCAGTAGCGGTGTACAGGGATAGCACGATCCATGACAAAGGGTTTGAGATGATTCTGTTGTGGTTCAAACCGAGTCAATGGGATGCTGCATGGGTTAAGTTGCAGTATGGGTGGTCGGGGTGCTGTGATAGCGCCGAGACAGAAAGTGTAGTGGGTGATGGTGAGGTTGGAAACGCTGAATTAGATGAGTTGCTTTGGCAGGCGCGAGAAGGGTATATCAAAGGACAGCTGTAGCTTGCATTGTCACCATTCATACTTGACTTCCTACACGGCTGATACGCGGACATACGGCATGTTGTGTAGTCCGGTGAGACAGGTGCCTGTTCGAACAGACTTAGGTATTATGAGAGTCATAAGACAATATAGGAGGAGCAGACATGGCATGAACCTTGAACGGCGCAAAAGATTATTGCCGAAAAGTTTGATACCCGACTATCATGATTCATTCTTATAATGGCAATCTGCGGAGCGATCATGGGCTCTAGGTCATGGATTTGAGCAGATCTGGAATGTCATTAGCAAACGCTCGTTCTCGGCTTCGAAGTGACGCAAATGATCTTTGCCTCATACACTATATTTCATCTACGCAGAAGATTCCAAATTATCGATTTCGTTGACTGAACCCGACCAATGAGCGATGAATCTGCTAGCGAGTTTGAGAGCGAACACCTCGCGTCCAAGGACTCATATTACTGACAAGAACCACAACATCGCGCACTGCTTCCACTAATCGGCAGAATGAGTCTCGGAAACACTCCCGCTCCGATGGCGGCTCTTACTATTGACGATACGAGTGCGCCCACTAGTACCGAAGACGGCAACCACGAGCAAAACGGTAAAGCTGAATCCACCACAGCTACCAATCTCGTCGACCTCACTAATGTCAGCATTCAAGCAATCATTGTCGCTGCTGGCTACCCAAAACATCTTACGTTCGATATTGGCGGTCGCAAGTTCAAAGTCTCACGCGACACGCTGAAGGCTGAGTCTGGCTGGTTCGAGCAGCAGCTCTCCGGCCGTTTCGGCCCGTGGGAGCCTGAGATGGATGGCTCATACTTCATGGACGCTGACCCTGATCTCTTTGAGCATCTTCTTCGTTTCATGCGTCGTCCTGAAGTCTTTCCTCTCTTCTACAGCAAGATGAACGGCTTTGACTATGACCTATACAATCGCCTGCAAGCAGAGGCGCTATACTTTCAGATGGACACACTACATGAGTGGATCAAAGATAAGGCATGCTGCATGTCTTAATCAAATTCGAATGGTATTAACGCATATCTAGAAATACCTCACCGCTATCAAAGTCAAAACATCGAACCCGACTGTCCGCAGCGTCGAAAGCATCGGTCTAGTACAGCCAGAGATTCTTCCCGTCCACAAAACCGAAGAGTGGCGTGTTATTCCGCGAACACGCAAAGTTTACCTTTGTCCTCGCCAGATTGCGGTTCATAGAGGCCACCCTGAACTTTGCGGTGCGGCATGTCATAGGAGGCAGGCGGAGAATACTGTGGAATACGAGGACGTGAATTTTCTGGAGGTAGTCAGCCTAGAAAAGGAAATCATCTTCGACGAAAAGGTCTGTAGAGATGACTGAGAATATCGGCGTTCCGGGAAGTGAAGGGACAGCGTTTCTATGTCACGCAGATGAGCTTACGGAGTGGACCCAATGGCTTGGTGGAAGTGGTATCTCGTGGAATTTGTGCTATGCGGTTAGTGTGCGATGATTCTCCCGTTCCATCACTTCCCCAAACCTGATCCGTGGACCTCAAGGCTTCTAATTGATATACGCTTTCATTGTAATGGGCCTAGCTGGAAAATACCTAGCGACAGAATCTACTCAGGCGAATAGCTCGCATACTTGAGATCATCTCAGAGCGTCAGAACTACGGTATTGAATCAACAATGCACCGAGATAATCTCTAGAGTGCTGCTTGTCTTCGACACCCGATGGACATGCATCGTCACTCGTTCTGTCCCGGTTGCTAAACCAGGGTAATCTCCAGGACAGAGCAGTCGAGCCGCCTCTTCTGCAAGAAGCCAATTGATGCGCGTACTGCACATCGGCATCTGCAGCTTCAATGCCAACTCAATCGCATCAAGAGACTGATTCTCCATCGCTCTTGCAATTGTTGTTTCTTATCCCGGTGGCTCCGTGTCCGTCACGTCAGCGTCTGTGCGTCTCAACCTCGTCGTCACTGTCCCCGCCTTTCTTGAGGTTCGACACATTGTCGCGAATCACAGTCCCGGAGGCACCCTTGATATGATGTTCTTCTTCTTCCACAGGGAACCTCGCTTATCGGCAGGATGCGTGTCGTACTTCAGAGCCTCGCACCGTACATATGGTTGTGCGTAGAAAGCCGGTCTGCTTAGATTTGTACATTTCCTCTGGGCGACAAGCTTTCCACTTGTACAACTTCGGATGATCCACCGTCTTGATCTCCTGGATGATAGGCACCAGTGTACGGACTGTGTATTTCTTACGAGACTAGGTCAACAAAGCCTATAGGCATCGGCTGTTGTAGCGGGGGACTGTGCTCCGCATACACAGCCTTTCGCGGGAAAGTCGAATTACGTGAATGTTGGCTCATGGAGTTGAACAGATCAGTATGTTCTATCCATACTCATACTCGATTGGAGTGGAGGTGGCATTGACGGGTCGGCGGCTGAGGACGGGTACGTGGAAGGGGCAGACATGGATCTATCGTGCCATTCTTCGTGTTCTTCTTCTGGCGACGAAAGCTCAAGCAACTTCTGTGGCGACCCAGCGGATAGCCCAAGCATGGTGAGCTTGTCTTGCAATATGCTGATAACAGCAGGGTTGCCACCACGAAAGGAAGCGAGCACTTGCGCTAGTGAGTGGATCAGATCTCTAGGACCAACGTTGAAATGAGACTCGTGGTTAAGCGAGGGCATGATCATCATAACGTCAGCAAGCGAGTTGGCTACGTCGAAGAGCTTGGACTCCTACAATTATGTCAGTGATGTCCTGTGCCACCCAGGGAGATGTTGCGTACCATGCCTGGACCATGCGCCTCGACGCTTTCTCGTGAGAGGCTACTTAGATTACTGAGAACGTTTTGGGCGACCTTAGCGGGGAAACGGAACGAAAATTCCTCATCCTGACTGGCGCGACTGCTCAAGTTCGTTACATTGAGAGCATGCTGCCACAGGAAGATACGCATCCACTGTTGAGTCATTGTGATATCTGCGCGCTGGAGCTCATTCTCAAGACTGCGAGGGTCTTCGTCACTGCTAAGTTGTTGCTGAGCTAATGCAAGAGCGTGGCGCGCAGCTGCAGGTTCAGCTGTTATGGTGACATCTAGGATATTGAACAGCCGACAAAGTTGGACGAACGCAGGTGTAACTGATCCATCATGTAAGTCTTCTAGCCTGGGAAGATTGGGAGCTCGCTTCAATGTCGTTGGCACATCGTGCTGCAAGGAGTGCGCTCGCTCTGTGATGAAGAGAAGCCAGTAGACCCTCAAAGCATACTGTATTTGCTCGGCGTTCATGAGCTCGTAATGTGTCGGTTTATGTAAGCCTATGATGTGTGCCTTGAAAATGGCCTCGCCGAGGAGGACCGTGGAAGCGTTCATTCGCCCAACGTTTGCTGAATAAACGTGTAGGAAGAAGCTACTTAGCAAGGAGAATATAGTCACATTCTCCAAGTGATCGGACTCGTTCCTTGCTTTCTTTGCTTCTGATTCGAACGTGCCGCTTGGAACGCGATAGTGGCCCTCGAGTGGACTGCCTGGCTCGGCATCTATAGAGAATTGGCTGACTATGGCAGCACATATCGCAGTGGCTAGTGCGTAGGCTTCCAAATCGTCGGGATGAGTCAAAAGCCGTGCAGTGAGTGCTTCGGCATCGACGACTGGCCATATGCCATATCCACGTGCTTGGTAGATGTCCAGGTAATGCGATAAGCAGGCAGTCGATATTCTGTGGGGCTCTTGGGGGATGGCGGACAGTGTTGGGCTCAAAATATCCGGCCAGGCTTTGGGGTCAACATCGGAATCGCTCATCAAGGGTATCGGGTCCAAATAAGGCAAATCGGTAGTCCTCGGACTTCCAGCATCAAAGCTCGTCTCGCTGTTGCTTCTTGACCCATCGTCATGGGTCCCCTTGCTGCGTTCTTGCAGTCTCCTAATGGCGGCTTCTGTAGTCCGACGTGGTCCTTTTGGTCCGCTTTTCCCATGCGTCTTCAAGTAGGTGCAGTCCCAGCTAGCAGCTTCGCATCTGGCACATGGCTGATTGCCATCACATCGCACTTTTCCTAGAAGAGAGGCAATGTCAGTTGTGTCACGATAGTTGACCTGCATCCAACACTTACTGACAGAACAAGGGTCACACGCTCGTCGCGTTCCTTTCCGTGGGGCCATGGCCATTCTGGGGCCAAGGTACTAGCCTCTTTGGATAGACGGTATTTACGAGACGCGGGATATCGTCATCTCGTCATGACACGGATGGGTCGGGTTTCACGCACCAGCAGAATGGTGGCGTTTGTGGAGAGTTTATCGGAAGTAGACGACAATCAAACGAAATACAGAAATATAAAGTCCATACAGAATGATGTCGTGGGAATGGATGCGGCTGATGCTGGGAACAAAAGGTGGAGATGCGGCTGCAGGTCGGTTGATCCTGCCTACTGGAGGTGCCGGCGCCGACCAATCATGGCTGAGTGCCGCCGCTGACCGCCGGCGGTCCCTGACGCCAGCTAGTCTGCCCGAAAAACTTCACGGCGCTAGAAGCTCCGTGGAAGAAAGCTGCTTCTATGGAAAGACCGGCTGTGCTCGGTATAGATAAGCGAACAGTTATATGATTCGATTACTGACATTCTAGAAGCTTACCGGGCGTGTCGTAGCGAACTTCTTTTCGGGCATGGTGTTGCACACGGGCCCTGGTGTAGTGAAAATTTGTGTTGAGAGTGCAGTGCAATGCGCTGTTCGAGCAAATCGACCAGGAATATCTTTAATAGCGCATCCACGTTTGGCAACGGTGACGCTGGCCACCCTGCTGTAACCCACAGCCTTACGGCTACGTCCGGTGTTGTCAGGAGAGCTACGTGAGGCTGACTTCCTGGCCAAATGCGCGTACGTGACGTACTGCGCGATTTTTAGCGTGTCCGACAGCGGGCGCACCAAACCTCGGATCAGTGCACCGATGTTTGAACTATTTTGGTGCGACTGCCGTCGTCTACAAGACAGCGGCACATCCCTTTAGTAGCTCTTCCAACTTTTGGTCGCTGCAATCGCACTCGGCGCGGCGGAACCGCTGGTCAACCAGGGCCCCCAAGCCCCTCGAGGAACACGTCGAGCTGAGACAGATGATTGAGCTGCGCCTCTGAACGAGCTGGCGTTCCAGACTCACAAACGACATGATGGCATTTGCTGGAAACCAACCCAGGGGACGAGTACAGACATGGGCCTCACCATCTCGAGTCGCCTCCGACTTGTATCTGTCAAAGGGCTAGACCGATGGTGGCGCACTGTGTTCCTGTGATGCAACATCATCACGCCGCACATTGGAGGCAACGGCCATGTCGAATCCCAATCAGGCAGTAAAGTCAGAAACAAAAGCACCGCACTGTTACTAGTCAATCCGGGGATCGAAGATGCAAAAAACACTAGCCAATGAATATGGAGTAGTTCATTCTGGATTGAATACTTGGCAATTTTTGTGTTACACTGTGGTTTGACACAGTAACCGGATCCCGGGAGCGAGCGTGAAGCAGGGGTCCAACGTGGCGAGAATCTGAACTTGCAGCTGTAACTATCACTGACATCCTCGGTCCCTCCGCCTTGACAGAATCGTAGTTAAGGCAAGATAATAGAGTCTAGCGCCACGAGATGCAGCGACGTCATAGGTATCTGGTATCCTGGTCATAAACGACGGTACGAACTCCTTCATATGGCAGAATGTCTAGCTCGCATGTGGGGTCTTATCATACGTCCTGGGGAATACGAGAATCCGGGGAAGATATATTGATCTTCTCGCTAAGAGCTGCGATGCAATTTACGCATATGAGCGCTATCGCGAGGTTCACAGGTGGAAGCTCACATTGGCCCAGAGCATAACCTGATAATATGTCTGCTAGAGATACGCAAAACAAAATGTGATGACTAGTGGTCATGGAACTGCCTGGATTGGTCAGATCTTGGGATCTTGTATCTGGTCGTGTAGGCTCAGCTAATTCTGGTCTTTACTGCAGATGAAGTGAAACACTATTGTGTTCTACAGCTATGTCAGCGGCGTCGCAAATACGGTGTTGTTGTATATATAAACCGTCGGGTTTCGTAACAACAAGAGCCGTCACATACCAAGTTGTCGACATACTTACCTCTACACATCTTCGCGAGGCATCACCACCAACATCTCCACGAAAAACAGTGCACCAACGGTTATCGCATTTCAGAATGAAGCTTCTCATAATCATGGCTGCGATTACGTCTCTCGCCCTTGGTGCGCCAAAAGATCCGTACCCAGCGCCTTGTGGGAGATCAGACCCATCCGGTATCTGCACGACCAAAGCGACTTGCTACAAGAAGGGCGGCTTCTATGTTCAGCGCGACTGCACTTTCTACAACGTGCTCGACATCGGTTGCTGCTACTCCATTCCCGACGAGAAGAAATGAGGACGACTCGAAGTGGCAGCGAGCAGACGACATTGGTATCATCGTGATATTGGAACATCAGAACTAGAGCAAGGAGGCTTGCGACGTGATCAACGAGAGAATCTCGAATCAATAGTGAAGTTAGATGAGGAGACGGAATCAATCAAACTACTGCTCCATCCAAGCAACTCTACCGTGATGGGGAATCATTGACTAAAAGTTTAGGCGGGCTAATGGCTTTTTTCGTGAAGTCATTGTCTTGAGTGAATGCAACCAGAAAAAGAAGGGTTGAGATGTAGCGTCGCGTAAACATATACTGCAGACTAACTCGCAAGATGCTATATCTGCGAACAGCATGCGGTGAGATGAAGGCAAGCAGCACTGAAGAGGTAATACACGATTGTCGTGATATATCGCTTATTGGAAAATGGGTGAGAGGAACGGGAAGAAGCAATCACCGAGGCACTATTGTGTCATCGCCGCTCATTCGTCAATCGGCCATCACCGGAACGTGGTCCCGTAATTCTCCGGCATCGCACTTTTCATTTCACGATGCACAAAATAGACGAGACTAAGGACATTTCCATCTTCTTTCATGCTCAACGAGGCGCCTTGCTTCACAAGTACAGGCCCCACTTTACTGCTAAGCGTTGGTAACACTGCGCCATTTTCAATTTCTTCCCGTTCGTGCAGCTTCTCCACAACATCGTCACCTACACAACGCCAAGATGGACCCAGATCTGGACATTGTAGGCTGCTAAGCGCTATCGGAAGCGCGGAAGGCTATATACACGCTGTAGCGTGTGAGACAAGTACGTCGCCTTGAGATGCGTTTCCCGTCGTCGTGCGGACTTGCCCGTACTCATGAGCCGGTACTCTCACTCCGGATTTGCTGGCCCACGATGACTTCAACATAAACTCTACTATCCTTGTTGTCCCCGCTCATTGTTCTTCAGAAGTAACAAGATTTCATCCGCTCCCTGATCATTGGGCCAACACGTATCAACCGGTAGGACGACGGAAGTAGAGAACATCTAGAAACAAGACTATCACAACTCAAAGACTATGGAGACGCTGAAGCGTAAGAGGCCAGGGTGCAAGCTAATCGAGGCCCACAAGAAGACCCGGAATAATAGTCCGGCCGAGTCCAGACAAAGGTGTCCAATCATGGAGGTCTTCCACCAGTATGGCTTACTGGAAATGATCGTATCCAGCCTATATCCAGACGACTTACTGGCACTGTTATTATGCTCAAGATCCACCCATGAAGCGATCTTACCACAACCTGGTAGCCTAGAAAATTTGCTAGGGAAGCTCAAATGCTCCGGTCGAGGTGTACATGTCCGCAACAAGCGTCACAAGAAGTCTACTTTCTTCTACGCTTATGATTGTACTGAAACCATAAAGTGTGGAGCAAAAGAGTCTACCACAGAGTGCCGGCCCTGTGCCAGATGTAAAGTCAGCACTTGCGACGAATGTCGCATTCACTGCGTCTACCAGAGCATATACGAAACACCTTGCGATGAGGATGAACTGCCCAACTTCAGCGGCTTCATTCTGCTGTCACCTCTCGAGGTGCCAATCCTCAGCCCACATCACATGGATAGTGACGAAGCTGGGTCGCAGTGGCAGGATCCTTCAAACAGTCTGCAAGCACCATATCATGATCAAGGCTTCATCGACGTTCCGTTTGAGGAAGATAGCTTTGGTCTACCTGAAAGCGTCGAAGATCTTCTAGAAATGGATCTCGGTAGCCACACGTTGGCTGCATCAGCGTCTTCGAGCGTCGCTCATCCTTCGCCGGTCCTTCGAGCTTTATACCAAACGACAGAGCAGCGGAAACGATGGTTCTGCGATGAATGCCGGCCATCCATCGCGACCCAGGGTCAAGAGAGTCCTCAAGCTTCTCAATGCCAGTGCACTTTACGCAATCACTTTCTTGACCGGTGGTTGTGCCTGCGCTGCTACGAAACGGAAGAACATGATCTTGACGCATCCTTTGTTGACCAAAAAGAGCGTTGCGCATGCGGACGACAAGATGGAACTAAGACATGTTTGTGGTGCTGGGGAGAAGTGGTACATCCGATGTTCGAATTTGAAGAAGCACACAACGGAGACCGACACGAAAACACCAATCAGCCATAGCGTGCCGCTTTGGGCTCTGTTTCTTTTTGCTCCGGCAGCATTATGTACTTCGAACTGTTGACCTCTGTATCCTAATACCTGTAAAATCACCCTGTATACATCTATAATCTCAACCTTTTGGTCCTGACCGATTACTCAGCCCGTCCCATTCTGCTCGTCGAGGTTAACGATATACTTCCTCTTATGAACAATGGTGCGTTGATGAAGTCCACAACGAGCTTTGTTTGCAATTCACTTGTGTCTTTTCATTATATCTGCCGCAACTCGTGGTTCTTAAAGCAGCTCAAGGTCCAATTGAACTAAGCACAATACGCTTCGTGTTGCGATCCACAGCAAGCATGTTTCGGCCAGCTACACTATCAACGCAGACAGAGCACTGTTCTCTCCTTACTCATATGCATTCCCATCTCGTCCAACTGCCTCTTCGCTATGATCGACTCAGTTCCCGCTATCAACTTCAATTTCTTCTCCTCTTTTTTGATTTCCTTCTCCTTCTTTCGCTTGCCGTCTCTGTACAGTACCAATTCCTCTTGCGCCTTATCCAGCTCTTCCACAAGGTATCGGAGGCCCGGTTCATCGCGCTCGCGTCGCACGCTGATCTCGAGGTCGACGACAGTGTTCATAAGACTGTTGACGCGGTCGCCGCAAGATTTATGGGCTGATACGAGGCTGAGTTGATAGACGGTGAGGAAGGTGGGCGGAGGAGAAGGCGGGTTGGAGTTTGAGAGGAAGGATGAGCGAACTGATGTTATGCTGATATCGGTATCACTTGATACTTCGTCCATTGCTGTAGCGGTATACAGAATTGGATGTTGGTACTGAGGTCTTAGTGATGATGATGATCTGCGAGGAGCTTTAGGAATTTATTTAAGTTGCTGCTCTCGGTCTTGCGTCTCTCACGGTTCAGCGTTTGCTTTGGTCTGTGAGTCAACTGCGCGAGCTTCGAAGTGAATCAGGCTAAGTCGCCACGGTGATGTCGAAATGACTTCGGTGAGAAGTATGATGAATCTTTTGCCTCGTCCGAAGGTGGCTTCACGGATATCTGTGATTACCTTGCAGTTTCCGTCGCTCATGTTGTTGTAGCTCACGTGGATACTGACGCCCTCCTTCCATACCGTCTCCCGGACAACTTACGCCGCTACACACTACAACGGAAAGGTATCTATAAGCAAGATGCGATTTGAAAAGTGAAGTGAGACGCCAAGCATTGATACGACCTTCTGTCGAGGAGCCCATCAACATAAGGAACCACAGCGCTGGATATACTCGAGCAGGCCATAAGCGCTCACCAGAGGGGATCATGAGGCTCGACACAATCGCGGCGCTACTGCACTTTCTGGTGGATCGATTCAACGAATGTGCTTGTGATATCTCTTTATTACTTTTTTGCTTTAAGAACGTATTGTCGTGGGATGTGTGTAGGGGCACACGTCGACGTTACGGAGAAGCCACTATGACGGCACGAGTGGGACGGGCCTTGGCGCGTTCGAAGACGCGTCTCCATGGTGGTATCAAGGCACACACCACTTCACATCCCACGCTTCGCACCGCGCGCCTCTTTTTCTCCTCAATCGACCCACTCTCGACGCAACGCTTGGCCATGGCTTCGAACGTCAACGTCATAAGAATCGACACCCCACACGGCCCGCACGCTTCTCCGCAGCCCACAACCGTCGTCTACCCTCGGCCCACCGATCTTCCCTGAACCGACCGCATCCGTCAACCTCTTACCCACAGGCTCGTTTCCTCTCGATGCCGATCCTGAAATCTGGCCAACGTTATTCGCGCATAGTTTGGCGTATACAATCTGAAAGATGCTCATGCGTAAGAAGTTGTGGGCTATCTTAGTAGGGCATAGATGTCCACAGAATCATCTGTCTGATGGCGACGTCAACGTTGTATGCTGGCGCCTTGTCCCCTAGATCGAATACCGGATAGATGTGTACATGACTACACTGAACCTGAGGATGAGATCCACTCGGTGAGCATAGAGCATAGGGCAATACTCAATCTCGCCACGCACCAGTCACACATGCGCAGAGGCTAGCATGTACATGAAGAAGACGTTCATAACGTGGCTTCTAGGGCTCGTTTTCGCTTCGCACTGAGCAGCGTTTGGTGCCTTCAATGGTCTCATAACCTCGACATAACGAGTTGGCACATGCTGCACCAGATATATGGAGATATAAAGCGACCAATAGCTTATGCAGCATTTTATATAGTAGTGCGCAAGTACAATAGACATGAGTAGCGATAGACAGAAGAGTGTTGCGCGCCAGTGCCGGATTGTGTGTCTGTGTTGAACACACCAAGTCAAACATGTTGTAACGAGGACCCAAGCTTGCCGTAGTCAAAGGCACGTACGTATAAGCTTGAACCGCAACTTTCGTATCCAACCCAACCCCACCAGTGTAGATTTACTTCGCAGTCTTTACTCTACGTTGTTCTTTCCAAGTCAAAATTGAGATGCCTTGGGTAGATCCTCCGAACGTGAAAGTAATTCGCCCGTATCGTCATCGCGGCTGACAGATCGACCCAAGAACCACATTGAGAGTTTGCTGACTACCAAGAGCGTACGCAGGCGCCAAAAGGGTTCCAAGCAATAGGTCAGACCTTGTTGTTGAGGCTAAGGCTTGTGTTCACCTCACTCACGTCTCGCTTCCGATGTCGCTGGCGCATGACTAGCAAGGGTGCGATCCTGCGGCGTTACGCGGAACGAGCACGCAAGGCAACAGTGGCTCAAAATTCCGCCCGTATATACTAAAGCCCCCCTGTACATTAGCGTGATTGAGGAGAGTCGTCTTCGATGCAACGAAACATGATATGGCGCACGATCAGCATAAGACGAAAAGTAGGCATATGAAGTAAGTGAAAGACTCGTATATTAATTAGCTTCCAGTCTGGAAGTCAAATAGGTATCATCGATCATAACAGATCCACAGGTAAAGCCACCCTCAGTACCCACGCTCGTAAACATCAACGTATCGCATCATGCTGCGCACGATCACAACCTAAGTGCGCACATGCGCCTCGATGTTGTGTCCAGCAATACCCTCCTCAACACTGTGTCTTCGGTCCTTGCCAATGTAGTTCGAGTCCGGAAGCATGTTGAGGATGTCTTCCTGCTTATCCGTCTTGCGCTGGTGGAACCAGAAGAGGATACCACCGATGAATGCCAAGATGGCAACAGTCGTGTAGTTCCAAACCAACAATGGGTCTTCGGATAGCGACACGAACGCCTGGCCAAGCGCGTTGGAGAAGGCAGACATGAAATGCCAGTAAGAGGTGACCAGCGAACGCATGTTCTTGGGTGCTTTCGTAAAGGCAAACTCGAGTCCAGTAATAGATGTGAAGATCTCGGAGAATCCGACGAGAACGTACGGAACGGCTTGGGTCCAGACGTTAAGTGGGGCTGGGTCGTCGCAGCTGTTCATGTACTTTCCGCAGGGGCCCTCGGCATAGATGTAGTGCTGGATAACGGCAGCGGAGACCATGGCGAAAGACGCAAGGATGAAACCGAAAGCGATACGCTTGATGGGAGTGAAGCGAATGTTTGCCTTGCGGAGAGCGGGGTAGAGGAAGTTGTCTACGATAGGGATGAAGATGACGAGAGAGATGGGGTTAAGGTTGGTGATGACATCGTTGGGGACACCGTTACGTGTCATTGTGGCAGCTTGCGAGGTAAGGTTGTTGTTCATCTGGTTGTATGACAGCCAGTAGAGCGGGATCCAGGTAAAGCAAGAGCACGCACGCAGACCACGAGCAACCTGGTCAACCCAAGCGTCGTCGAACTGCATCCAACCAGGCTTGTTCGCACCGAGATGGCTGGGCTTGACGTCCTCCCAGAAACGCTCGCTCTTGAAGTTCTTGCGCGTGGTAACGGGGTTGATAGACCACTTGCCCTTGGTGGCAAGCTTCAGGACCTTGATTGCGCGGATGAGGACGGAACCAGTGGGGGGAGTGCGGTGGTACTTGTTCCTGCAGGTCCAAAGAACGACGGGGCAGAAGCAGAACATGATGGTGGGTAGCAGCCACGCGCACCAGAAACCAACATACTTCTCGACGTACACCATGGACAGTTGTCCAGTGAGGGAACCAATGTTGATGAACATGTAGAAGTCTGAGCTATGTTAGTGGACTGGTCCCTGTGTGCCAGCGGGTGATGACTTACACAAGAAGATACGGGAGAGTGTGATGTTGGGGTCAGAGATGACACGCTCGCCAGTCTTGGGATCCTTGATGACACGCGGCTTGGTCTGGCGGTATTGTTCAGCAATCAGTGGGGAGATGTTGGCCTTGAATGCTCCAGTTCCGAAACCAAGGGTGATGACACCCAGGATGAAAGGTCCAATTGCATTGCCGCTAGTGAGCACAGGGGGAATGGCGGAGATGATGAGCAAGATATGGCCCAAGATAGAGAAGGCAATGGCGATGAAGATGGTGTTGAAACGACCGAGGTATTCGTCGGCGATGATGGCACCGATAATGGGAGTGGTGTACGCCCAGAAAGAGTTGAACTGTCCGATACCGAAGGAAGCACGCTGACCCATGCCAAGCGCACCTGGTTGACCCTCTTCACGTGGATCGCGACCAGTGGATTGTACGACGCCATCGATCACAGGAAGGTCCTGTTGAATGAAGTTGGTGTCTTGGAAAGAAGTCAGCGCTTTGGTTAGAGTATGTTGATGGGCAATGACGTACACAACACCTGGCAACCGTAGTATCCGAAACGCTCGCAAAGCTCGACGAACGCAATGGTGAAGGCAGTCCATGGAATCTTTCCGGATACACGACGGAGTGTCTTCAAGTCTTCCTCCGTGGGTTCCTCGCCTTCCAAGTCTGCATCAAAGACATCGGGGTCATGGGGCTGATGGCTGAGAGTCGATGGCGTGCGTTCATCCGAGAGGGCACGCTTCTCATCGACCTCGTACAGAGGCATAGCAGCCTTGGCGGGCTCGTTGGACATGGCCATGTCCACGGCGTTGGATGCAGCGTTCGTCGTCATGACTAGCAGACAGGGATGAGGTTGAACGGGGAAAAAGAATGAGCTGCTGCTGAACAGCAGGGAAACGGGCAGTCGACTGCAATTATAGTCGTAGCCCGCACTTCCTGTAACACACGAGCGGCAAATGTGCTCTTTTCAAGCGCCGTCTTGGTATTCCTTGACTGTCTCTCTTTCGAGCAGGTGTCTGGTGTGGGTACACTCCACCACTTTGTCAGGGATTCAACTAGTTGCCCCAGGCCGGCGGTCGACCCATACAGACTCGAGAGGCCATTTCGCGAAGCCCGTCTTATCACCAGCCGGTGACTGGGCAAAGTCTGGGCGGTTGGGCGATGCCGAAAGCAAGACTACAGTTTAGAGCTTAGTACCCGTCTTTGCAGGGCTTCGGCTGGCCAAGCTCCATGGGAAATGGGTATTTCGGCGCATGCGACAACATCGATTGAGTGCTTCGGTACTTGGCAGCGTTGCTGATCACGCTTTGCATTGATGATTCCGACCATTCATACGGGTGATACCCCTAGCTCTTTCTTATCTGGACGACATGCTGTGCCATGACACCACGCCGCAGGGCGATGCGAAAGCGCACATGCGCACACAGGCTTACATATGCGGAGTGACAGGCCGTGAAAAAGTCATACATGGTCTTTACATGGAAGACACTGGTATCGACGACGATGAAAGAGGTCGGCCCGCCCATTGTGTCGAAGAAAGGCATGTGTCATCACTTCCATCACCGCCGAAGACTGCTGCCGCTCCGCCATGGCGCCCAGCCTTCCGTCCCGCTGGGCGTTTTCTCGCCTTGGCTGCTCCCCACACCATGAAACAAACTTCGTTTGCATGCGATGTAACTCCACCAAACCCGAACAGGCAGCTCAACGACGCGGCAGCATATTTCCGTAGAGCTTTACATGAGCACACCAATCAAGTATCGCGTTATCCCTCCCACCTTAACCTAGCGCACACGCTCTATCGCTTTCTCGAAGACATGGCACCAGCATTGGCATAACCATACCCATACGCTTATCTCCTAGGCTAGATGAAAACGTGACGAAAGAAGACAAGAGCACCGAAGAAACCCATATGCTGGTTGGCGCAAGGCTTCGCTTCTGTCAGCGGAAGCTTTACCTCGCCCAGCAGCATGGCACATTTTGGCACCCCATCACAACCTTGTGAACATTCCACCGTTGATGACCCGCTGTTTTCCGTTCCTCTTGGCATGGGCTGTTTGTCAGAAGGAATCACCTGGCGATCCTTCCACACACATACACACACCAACATATCGAGGCGTAGTAGGATCTCTCGATAATTACAGAACAGTCGAGGATGCGGCTTGGCAGGGTGGCAATGGCGGCTGCTTATCTCTCCTCGCCCCTCATACAGCAGTAGACTTCACGAGGAAAGCTTCTGGAATCTTGATGTGGGTGTCGAATCGAACGATGCACACGCGGTGGGATAACCGAGTCATTTTGTTGGCGTATCAGCATATTGTCGAGGCACACTCATTAGTGCAGCATGCAGTTGTTGCCGGGAACCGAAAGCATATCAAAATGCCAAGATGGGGCCAGCAGCCTGCGCATGCCCCGCCCGGGAATAGGTACGTACCTGGACAGACGCGGTTATTCCTGGGTAGTAGAGCCGCTGGATACCAGCCGCCGGGTAGTGGGAGCGACGCTTGATGCCTAGAGTCCATGCTCTTGCGTATGTAGCACCAACGCTCACACATGTTGCGCGACCATGTCAGTTCGGATAGTATGATCGTTAGCCAGGTATATCGATAACCATGAGCTACTAAAATTACTTGGATATCAGGAGCGCATACCACTACTCCGCACAGCTATCAAGGTTGGTAACCTTATTCGGTGGGCTAGGTAGGTGCAGATGGACTTTGGTCTTTCCCATACATCGGTATTATGCATCCTGGGAGGCCTGTAGCTTGCAAGGTACCACTTTGGCTCGGAACTAGTATACGACTTCAATCACGATGCTGGAAGATGGACCCACCAGGTAGAGGAACTCGTGAATCCACAACTCAGGACACAGGCGCAAATTCACTGTAGTGTTTGGGAAAGTAGAATTTGTCAATAATATATTATCATTAATCGTTCATCAATGGGTATTCATTAATGCTACAAGAGCAAAGCCGCCTTCGCAACTTTCTCTTGTTCCACCAGTCGCACAAAGATAACCACCCTAGTTACCGATTGGCAGGTCGTCCAAAGGCTCACCCTTGGACCAGTGGTTGATCCAGTTGAAGATCTCAGTGTGCCAGAACAAGCTGTTCTCCTGCTTGAGCACCCAGTGGTTCTCGTCAGGGAAGTTGAGGAACCTAGATGGGATACCGCGGGCCTGGAGGATGTTGAACAAGCTCAGACCGTCGCTCTCAGGCAGGCGGTAGTCAAGAGTGTTGTGGATGACAAACTGTGGAGTAGACCAGTTGGCAATGTGGTTCTGGGGGTTCCACTCGCGGTACGCGCCAGAGTCCCAGATGCTGCCGTTGTAGTCGTGGCGGATGAACCAGAGTTCCTCAGAAGCCCATGCTCCCTCAGTGTTGGAAATACCGTCGTGGGTGACAAGGCACTTGAACTCGTTGCCGAGGTCGTTAGCCTGGATCCAGTTGGTCATGTAACCACCGTAAGAAGCACCGGCCGCGATACCGTTCTTGGTGTCGATCCATGGCATGCTGGTGTTGACATAGTTCCAAGCGTTAACCAAATCGTGGTAAGGCCAGTTACCCCATTGACCCTGGATAGAGTCGGTAAGGAACTGTCCGAAACTGGTAGATCCAGTTGGGTTGGGGGCGACGATGATGTAGCCCTGGTCAGCCCAGACCTGAGGGTTCCAGCGGTTGGACCAGCTGTTGCCCCAGTTACCTTGGGGACCACCGTGAATGTAGAAGGCGAGCGGGTACGTTACGTTCTCCTGGTAGAAGGTGGGCTTGACGACGTAGGCGTGGAGCTGTTGCTTGAGCTCGGGGTTGGAGCCGTTGAAGAAGATCTCGGAAACGGTGTGCGATCCGAGACCAGCAAGGTTGGGATCAACCTGAGACGCGTCGAGGAGAGTGGTCTTCTTTCCGTCAGCGAGGATGTACCACTCGTTGGGAGTCCAGATGGCGGTGGCGGCGACAAACAGCGAACCGTCGGGAAGGAGCGCGAAAGTCGAGACAGAGGTGTTGGAGGTCATGGGCTCAGGAACGAAGCTCTCGTCAGCGGTAATGGGGAAGTTGAAGATCTTGACGCGAGCGTAGTCATCGGCTGTGGCGTAGATGGACGAGTCGTCGTGAGCCCAGGTAATGGGTCCCTGAACCCAGCGGTCGAAACCAGCACTCAAAGACTTCCAGTTGCTGACAGCGACACCAGTACCTTCGACAGCAACGTCGACGGTGTACAGAATCCACCTGTCGGACTCGTAGTAGTCCTCGTCCTGCTGCACGTAGGCGAGCTTGCTGCTGTCGGTGGAGAAGGAAGGAAGACCAGAAGCACCCTGGTGGCCAGCCTTAGCGGCCTCGGAGTCGGGACCGTTGAAAGCGACGGGAGCGTCAGAAGACGCAAAAGCACCAACATAGGTGTATGAGGCAGTGTAGTTGGCCTTGTTGAGCTGAGGAGCCTTGCTCACGAAAGCGTACATGGAACCATCAGGGCTGATGTCGTAGTCGCTGGAGTCACCAAACGGCTGGATGGGAGTCTCGGGCTGAGTGGTGGTGAAGTTGATGCCCTTCTGCACGTTCCTCATTCCAGCACCGGACAGGGCGTAGCTGGCGTTTGCGGAAAGAGTTCCGGCAAAGAGGTTGTAGCGGTTCTTGGTTAGCCAAGTGTCCCAGTGGCGGACGTAGATGTCCGAGTAGTAGCGAGCAGTAGTCACCGGGGTGACTTCGGTCTCTGGGTTGACAGCTGTGCCGTTGGGGTAAGCCATGCAGTTGACCAAGAAGTGCATGTCTCCGGTCGAGGTCTTTGCAACCTTGAGACCGTTGTATGGAGCATCCAGAGAAGCGACCATGGTGCTCATGTTGGGGCTCTTGATGTCACCAATCCACAGGGTGACACCACCTGGGACCTCCTCGTTGGTGCCATTGATGTAGATGATACCAGTCTCGCTGCCAGGGATCCAGGCGACTTCGTTGATCTCGCTGGCGTTCAAGCCGGACTTGGTGATCTCGCCGGTCTTGAGGTCGATCAAGTTCATGCCCGAGCCTGCGCTGCCATGCTCCTCAAAGGAGTACTGGGAGTACGAGAACAGAGCGACGGAGCCATCGGGACTTGGGTCAGCGGCGCCACGGCGGACGTTGCTGAGGAGTCCTCTATTTCTATTGTTAGTTGATGCGCAGGAGAATCAGTGCAATGGTGGGCTTACTCAGGTGTCAAGGCACAGGCGCCGGTGGCAGCCAAAGCTGCGGCAACACTGAGGTAACGAGCCATATTGTATGCGACCAGCTTCGTAAAAGCTCAATTGGACACGGTCGGTGGTCAAGCAAAGCTCCAGAAGGGCATGCCGCTTATTTGTACGACGAACAGCTGAGTAGACCCTGGCCCGACGATATTTACCAGCGGGGTTCACGTTGCATTCGGGACTGGTACCTGGCAGTGACAGCGCTCCCAGTTGGCTGCGCACTCGGTGATGCCATCATGCTGGCCCTGCAATGCGGTAGCTGCTATACCAAACATGTGGAAAGATGGACGCTGTTCGCGATGTCTCCTTCCTCTTCGGGGCTAGAGCTGCGGGCGCACAAACAAGCTCGCCGTCGGTGGGTTCCTAAGAAAGCATGTTTCTGCTCGTCCTATCGCGACTCGGCCCACATGTCCCGCAGTCGTGGCTCAAGCTTGGCGGCCGTGTTCATGCAGCCCTCACGTGAAGCTCACCAAAGCCCCAGCAAAGCTCTCGCCCAGATTAGTGGCGGCTGTGCCAAGTCGCGCCGTCTCCACTGAACCGGTGGTGGCGGATAAAACGGCGCGCCGAAACAGGCAGGTCGATGAAAAGTCCAACACGATTGTCCTCTCTATTCTTACTCATCGATAGCCAGTTGCGGCCTTGCTGTGCCGCTTGTATGCTGCCTCACAAAAGAGAGAGGCTGGACGTGCTGGACTTGCACGGACTGCCTCGGTCTGCTTCGGGCCTGCCGGCGCGCCTGATGTTCTTCTATCTTCCGTGAGCAAATTGGCGATCTGCACCTGCCTTGCCTGGCTTAGATATGCATACTCCATCGATGCAGCTGCTTCTTCGCGTTGGCTGATGGCGCATGTCGTGATGGGTTGATAGTATCCAACGAATGAGCTGGAGGGCAGCCTCGTATCGCACCGTGCAGCCAACATGCTGGTATCTGTGCTTGATAGTACCTTGGTGTCCGCTCCTCACAAGCAGGAATTCCGATCGTCTTTGCAGATTTTCCCCGGTTCCATCTCTTTGCTTTCCAAGGACATGGACCGATATCTACGCGCGTACCAAAGAGGGTCGAACCACGACAATCCGGAAAACGATGTTAGCGCATCCACAGTCTCGGAAGCAATCCACAACGTTGTGATTGCCACGCTTCGTTCAAGGTCGAGTGGTAACTATCGTCCATCATGCTGTGTGCAGACCAAGGAGGTTTGGAAGCTTGTTCACATTCTTAGCTCGCGCTTGCCCCGCGTCACCACGTGCCTGGGGCGCTTGCACGAGCTAACATGAACAACCCTGGAAGTTGGGCGCACGTAATAGCGTCTTCGACATCTCACATCTACCTTTGAGCATTGCTGGGTAGCGCAAACATTTCCAAATCACAGGAAATAGCATCCAGCATGCCGCGATGGTAGCCCACTGGTGGTTCGTCCAACGATAGCAGCTTCCAAGGATGAGATGGTTTGCAACTCTTGTAGTTCCTCCGGATGGCTCCAGCGAGTACCAGTATGAACTTTCTGAATCCTCAGAACTTCAGAATAGACGAGCTTCGGATGGCTGCTGTTATGGCTTGTATATCAATCTGCTAACAATCGTCATCCTCCAGAAAACAGCAACCACTGACTACAGTCAACCACTAGATTACACTGAGAATCAACTTCCTTTAGTGTTGCATTCGCGATTCCTAAAAGCTCTCCAGAATGCCGGACATCAAGTATTCACAGCCACTGCCCACAGCTTCCGTCCTCCAAAGTTTTACCCCTACCATGCGCTACTACGACACTACGATAAACAGTTTTCAACGCCATCTCGCAATTGAACAGGATATAGTGGCAATGTTGCCAATAGAGCAGGCAAGCAAGGTTGCGTATGAACAAAAAATGGCCGTACTGGATATAGCCAAAGCAAAGCTACGAGAGCTGGTCGACTTCAGTACTGGGATCATGGAGAAGCAGATTGAGAAACCCAACACATCGTTGGGCTTATCGGCCGAGAGGGCAAATGAGCAGATACAAGACGGACTAAAAGAAGTGGAAGATGCGATGGTTGAAGCACGATATCTGATGTGGGGCATGTGAATTGTAAAGAGGAGGGTAAGTACATTTTCAAGGTCTCATGGAACCGACATCGGACGAAGGTTAGCACACTGGTACGTGGGGATATCGACGTCTTTTGTTCTGCGCGCAGGGTATGTGGCAGAAGAAGAAACGAATCAAGAATGACATGCATCTTGAGAGGTTAATCACAAGCTATATTGACCATTATTGAACCGCTCACTCAAGGAAGTGTGCGACTCCAGACACTCACCATACGCTAACAAGCCGTCGGGCATAATGTAAACATTCTAGCTTACATTCCTGCAATATCTGCTTGGCGACAACTGATTGGCTTACTTTTGGTAGTACAAACGCTTGTTGTACTGTATAGATGCTCCAGAAGGTATTCCTGTAGTTATCCATCACCTACCCGCATCATCATATATCTGTTATGGTAATGACGGATGATGAATCGGTGAAGGCTTCCGCCACTGAGCTATCTCGCCACAAAACTTCTCTTGACGCCGCGCAAGCCATGGTAAATCACAGCGATTTAGCTCAAGAAGATGCGCTAGGGTTACATAAGAACGGGAACATTTCATTTGTTCGTTTGACAAGTATGCAGTGTGTTTGCTGTTTCCGCTTGCTGTATTGGAGTACTTGTTTATTGAGGTCAGTTTTTAGGGTACACAGTGAGCATGACAAAGCCGACGAGGTCAATGACGGCAGTTGCTTGACTCCTGGAATCATGGTTGCCTTGAAAGTGCAGAGCTAATGTGTGTACTCCGAAATGACTTTTCCTACTAAAGCTAGCTTCCTGGAGACGTTACTGACCACTCTTGTTCACAAAAGCAGGGTCGGAGGATATCGCCCGTACAGACCAAATCTGGCTCGCAAAGAATACTTCCAAATGCAACCCAAATTTGCTATTCTAGCATCCGAAATCCTTACGAATGACCCCGGCATGCATTTACTTTTTCAAACCAACGTGTTGGATGCTATAGTCTCCATAGTTTAGAGCAACCCTTCTCTCCTCTCTCGTTAAGGACTCGGATCGTCTAACGCTTTTCTTGCTTCCCTCATCTTTCGCTTAAGTAGTTCTACCTCCGCCTCTAGTACGTTCGTTCTCTTTTCAGTTTGTTCACAACGCAACTGGCTTTGTCGGAGTTGCTCGCGGAGACACTCTCCGTCGTCGAGCGCGTTGGCGTGCTCCGTCTTTAGTTCATCGTATCGAACTTGAATGCCGCGATATGCATTTTGGCCATACGAGTATTCGTCCTTGATTCGACTCACTTCGGCTTTGAGGCTGGTGACTTGTTCTTGAAGCTGATGATTTGTTTGAACTCTTGCCTGGTTAACTTCCAGCGGTCTGGTCTGAGTAGCAATCGCTGCTTTTAGCAAATCGTTTTCTGCCTTACTGGCTTTAGGCTGGGCCTCCATACGTTTTGCCATGACCAGATTCTCTGGGCTAGATGACCTAGAGATGATGATGGGTCGTTGTATCTAGAGATAAGGTCAGCTTAGAATTGAAGCAAGCCATGGCCAGTACGTACTCTGTGACCGTAGTCGCGGCGCTTGATGTTGGCTAAGAGAAATTAGTTCTAGTTCCTAGAGATAAGGAAGATCCCCTAACTTACGTGCCGAGTCAGATCTTTCGTCACCTTTGCGCTTTTTGGATGCGACATCTTCAGATGTCGAAACAACCGCATTTGGGACTAGAATCAGCGCTGCGTCTAAATCCGGTCGACTGTTTCTTTTCTGTACGTTCATCTGTAGCTTTGGTGGACTTCCCTTATTCGCAATCCACGCGCACGACTTTGTAAAATCCTGCCAGAAATCTCTGTAGTGGCCAAACCCCCTTAGATGCCCAGCTTCTAAGAGATAATAAAGAACTATGGCCCGTAGTCTGTTGCAAACTGTTTGTTGGCCAACGGTTTGGTCTCCAAGATCACAAAAGGGTTCCACGAAATCGATGTTCTCAAGGCTGGCGTGTGGTATCCGATACACGCTCAAGTCCTGCATGATGAGGAAAAATCCAACTAGATTATGCTTCGATCCATGTACAAAGGCGTACACAGTCTGCCTCATGTATGGAAGGTTGCCGTCAAAGATGCCGATGGCAAGTACCATTGGTGAAGCCTCTTGTGGCAAGTTGGCGAGGACCGTTGGGCCAAGAATTTCGCAGTGGCTGAACTCGAGTGTCTCAGATTTTGGTATCTTCTCAAATTGATCAGGTATACTTGAGAGTGCCTTCCTGGTGATCGCTTGCTTATACCAGCTGGATTCTCTCTCATTGTCGATAGTGATGGGGCTTTTGGCGCTGGTACTGTCCATGACGGCGGAGTAGACGCCTTGATATCCAGCAATTTGGGAAATATTCGAGTTCCTAGGAGACTAGATTACGTTAGTATTGTTCTGGTTTCCAATATGTTTTGTTACACGTACTGAAAGTATCGTAGATGCAAGACCAATGTAAGAGGTGTTCCTTCGGTCGCATTTACTAAAGATAGTGAGGCTGCTGAAGGTAAGAGAATATTGTGACTGTGGTAGGATATGTGCCACTAAATATTGTAGGTGATTTGATATGTAAAAAGGTGATTGAGTGAGGTGGACATATGAGCAGAGTTATGAAGCGAAGAGTGCCTGTCGGTTACGTGTTATTTGAACAAGCTGGTTGTATACTCTGAAGGGCTGAAGACCGTAAGTATAGTGAAGGAGGCTGCCAAATCATAGCCATATATGGTGATAGAAGACGGGATAGAATATCGGTGAGGAATGTTACCATGCAGACCCTGCGTTTGTATACCTAGGTAAGATAGAATGATGCTACGAGTGCTGAGCAGCCAAAGTACAATATAGAGTTTGTCTAATGGAAGTGAAATTGGTTTGATCTTCATTGAAGCTGGTGGTGAGTCTGTAAAGCGACATCGTCATAACCTGGATGGTTGCCTGGCGCCTGCTACGCTTCATGGCCTATGGCTGACTGCGGTACTGGCGTGTTTGTGGTAATCAAGGCCGTTTAAGTGATGTGATTGCCAGTTTGCAGCATCTAAGCACCCTTCAAGTTCCTTTTTCGCAAATGGTCGGATACGAAGGGAATATTTAATGGCATCGGAGTTGTTCTTGGACGTCCCTGAGCCATGTTCGTTCCTGCTAAAAACCTGTTATCATCACCTCACTCATCGTCACCGAGAAAACGGATGCCGCCTTCGGAACTGCTGCGGCCTGAAGCTTGGGGTTTGGGGTACGGTGTGATCATAATGGCTTCAGTTGTGTTTCGCTAGGAAGCCTAAGCCATCGTCGTGACCAACGTCAACATTGTCACATACCCTCTCGCACGAAAATCCAGTATGCACCGCTCTCGTCCACGCGTCCGTGATGATCAAGATGCGCTAATATCGGTTGTTTTTCGGTTCGGCGGATTTACTGAACCAATTGACGCCGATCATCTTCCAAACCCCACATTCAGCCAGCAAAGCTTGAGCCGCTCTCCGCACGCTTGACTGGTCTTGTGTCCGCGCCCAGCTTTTAGGCTGAAGTACGGTACAACCTTCCAACCTCGTCGCGCGTTCTCGGTGGGAGATATCACGATAATTGCTGCCGTAAGCATACTCGTGACGTCTTGATCATTCATCATGGAGAAACTATGGCGATCTATAAAGTACCTTGAGAAGGGCGCCGCCTAGTTGGATGACTGACTACCACCCGTGAGGTCTATCATGCGGCTAACACTTACAACACTACTCTGCGCTGTTGGCGTTGCTGTCGCTGAGGACGGCTCAAAAGGCTGGCTTCGCTACGCGCCAATACCAGACGGGCCAGCAGCGCAGTCAGTACCCTCCACGATCATCGCACTGAACAGCACGAGAGTGAGCCCCGTATTCACTGCTGGTCAAGAGCTTCAAAAAGGTGTTGATGGCATTACTGGAAAGAAACTCAATGTGAGTGCGGTCGCAGACCAGAGTCACTCTGCCATCATTGTCGGAACCAAAGACGCGTACACGGCGGCATTCGGTAACATTGATGAATGCGAGAATCTGGACGCCGATGGCTTTTTCCTCAGCACGACTACTCCAGGCAAAGTCATCATTGTAGGACAGAATGAACGCGGCGCTCTCTACGGCGCATTCGAATATCTTTCTCAGCTGGCGCAAAACAATGTCACGTCCGGCTCCACAGTATTCAACCCACAGGTACCCATTCGATGGACGAATGAATGGGACAACATGGATGGCAGCATCGAGCGCGGTTACGCTGGCCCCTCACTGTTCTTCCGAGACGGTTTCGTGGTAGACAACACTACGCGAGTCGCTGAATATGCCCGCCTACTTGCATCAATCCGCGTAAATGGCGCAATCATCAATAACGTCAACGCGAACGCCACGTTGCTCAATGACCGCAACGTAGAGGGTCTTGGTAGGCTTGCTGATGCGATGAGACCATATGGTAAGTTGTGACCACACGAAATGCATGGGAGACATCAACTAACTTGATACTTCCACACCTGCAGGAGTACAACTTGGCATATCGCTCAACTTCGCCTCTCCAAACGCTACACTAGGATCATTCGATCCGCTAGACCCCCGAGTGGACGCATGGTGGGCGAACATCACTAACCAGATCTATTCCAAAGTTCCGGACATGGCAGGTTACCTCGTCAAAGCCAACAGTGAGGGTCAACCGGGACCGTTGACGTACAATCGAACACTCTCGGATGGCGCCAACATGTTCGCAAGAGCAGCGAAGCCGCATGGTGGCGTGGTTATGTTCCGTGCTTTTGTATACGACAACCACATCAACGAAACGAACTGGTACAACGACAGGGCGAATGCTCAGCTGGAATTCTTTCAACATCTTGACGGAAAGTTTGATGACAACGTCGTTGTTCAGATTAAATTCGGGCCCGTATGTTTACATGTACGCTCTTCACGAAAGACGTAGACTAACGCACGCCTACTTTTGTAGATTGATTTCCAGGTCCGCGAACCAGCATCGCCATTATTCGGATCCCTGCGCCAAACGAGCACTGCCATCGAACTCCAGGTCACACCCGAATACCTTGGTCAAAACTGTCATCTGGTTTACCTAGCACCACAATGGAAAGAGATACTAGAGTTTGACATGAGGTCTGAGAACCAGTCATCCAAGGTCAAAGACATCATCACCGGCGAGCGTTTCAAGCGGCCTTTGGGAGGCTACGCAGGTGTGACAGGAGTGGGATCAAACGCGACGTGGCTGGGCTCACATCTAGCAATGTCTAACTTGTATGCTTACGGACGACTAGCCTGGGACGCCTCGATGGACTCAGAGATGATCCTCCAAGACTGGATCCGACTGACGTTTGGTTTCGATGAGGATGTTCTTGACACTCTCACAGACATGTCCATGAGGTCGTGGCCCGCATACGAAAATTACAGCGGCAACCTTGGAATCCAGACACTGACAGACATCCTGTACACACACTTTGGTCCCAATCCTGCCTCACAGGATGGCAACGGATGGGGCCAATGGACGCGCGCCGATGCATTCAGTATCGGCATGGACAGAACTGTAAAGAATGGCACTGGTAACGCTGGGCAATACCCGCCGGAGGTCGCCCAGATCTATGAGAATATAGAGTCGACGCCAGATAACTTGCTGCTCTGGTTCCACCACGTACCATATACACAGCGATTAAAGTCTAACAAGACTGTCATTCAACATTTCTACGATGCGCATTATGAAGGTGCTGCTACCGCACAAGAATTTGTCGGACAGTGGGAATCCTTGAAGGGTAAAATCGACGATGAGCGATACGAACATGTGTTGTTCAGGCAGATCTTCCAGGCTGGTCATTCCATTGTGTGGCGCGATGCGATCAACGAGTTCTACCACAATCTTTCGCAGATACCGGATGAGACCAAGCGTGTTGGCAACCATCCATACCGGATTGAGGCGGAAGATATGATGCTCGACGGTTTCAAGACATATGCCGTAAGCCCCTTTGAGACGGCTTCCGGTTACACGGCTATCGTCACCACGTCAAACTCGACGACGGGCATCGCGACAGCCAACGTCACGTTCGCATCGGGAACATACGACGTCGCTGTCAACTATTATGATTTGATTGGGGGTAAAGCAAAATACGAACTGAAACTTGGCGATCGTACTGTGGGAGCGTGGACAGGGGATCTCGAAGATAAACTGGGGCACGCGCCATCTATTTACCTAGACGGGCACTCAGCGACACGCATAACATTCAGAGATGTCGAGGTTCGGCAAGGGGACCAAGTGCGGCTCATAGGCCAAGCGGATGGCATCGAGCCCGCACCGATCGATTACCTCTCTTTCTTGCCACCTGGCATCGTCGATTGAATCATTGTGCGTAGAAAGTATGTACAAAAAAGCAAAGCGATGCGAAATTGATGTTCTCGCATTTGGAGGCGCGACAATCTAACGTTCCACTGCCCAGTCGGCTTCATTTCCACGGCAATCCACAGCTGGGATCCCCTGCAGGTCTCCCGCAGTGCCTAATCCACATTAAGTCAATTGTCTCCTTTTCTGCCAGCCATGGCAACACACCACAGTTCAACCGTTGGTGGCTTTCAGACGGGAAATCTTATACTACGTTCCCGCAATTTGAGATTCGTCCCTTGCATTAGCCACTGATCTGGGGATGCAAAGCCCAGCGACACCCAGCTCTTTCTCGGACGATGTGCTGTGTACTTCCTTCGTGAATTGATCGTGATTTGTGTCTTCACCCCTTTCTCGTCCAACGTCGTGGACCACCAAGTATCCGGTGGGCACGCAAGAGCTTGAGATCCGTGCCGTACGCCAGTACTTCACGATGTGACAGGCTTGTCAGCCTCGACCAACCCAGCACACCTCTCAAAAATCGCCGACAGGCACCGCCATCTCCAAAACAAACACGCCAGCGACGACAGCCCGGCAACGCCATCCACGTCTTCTTCAAAGTGCATATTAGCATCAACTTTGTTATCGCGCGCTCAAACTAATGTCGCGTCCTAGTACAGTCGCCGCACGATGCGCTGCGCTAGGGACTTCGATCGCGCAGGTGAGCAGAGCCGCTCCAGATGTTCGACTTTGCAGCTCCAGACGCTAACGCCCAAAAGGTCATTCCGGACATCAGCAGCTTTGCACGCAAATTCCGCGATGCGCGTCACGATTTGAACACCATTAATAGTGATCTGCTGGTGATCAAAACCGGGCTCGGTATTGCGCAAGACGACTTTTCGGCCAAGTGGTCCGAATTACCGGCGTCCCTCGTTGATGCTGTATCACGAGTGCTAGATTCATGCGATGACACCAGTGAGCGATTACATAAAGCCTTTCTCAAGCTTTCTTGTAGCAGCAAACCAAAGGATGATTGGCGTGCGCTCAAGGACGGACCTTTGGTAAACCTGCGGCATGATCTTGATGCATCGAAGGTCGTACTTGAGTTGAGTTTGGACTACGTCGCATTGTAAGTTGTACATGATGTATGTTACTTGGGCACAGCACGGGACTTACTTTTCTTAGATTTTGCCAACAAGATACCCTGGATTCCTTACTGCAAAACTATGTCAGCGATCTCATTACGCAGAGCGATGAGCTACTAAAAAGGACGGACACAGACGAGATCTACGTAAACCAAACAGCGCGAGATAGACTATCTTCGCTACTACAGGCTGTTCGTCTGCTTCGCTCATGTATTACAGCCATATCTCGCGAAGGCGCGCCATCATCATCACAACTAGCAAAGAGGACAACCCTTCCACGACCAGACTCCCTGGAGCCCGCCCTTGGCGAAACGCCCAGAAGCGGGAGAAAAAGCCCCAATGAACAAACCTCAACCCGAGCCAGCGCAAACGATGGCATCGGCACATGGCTCGCTAATGTTCCGTCCTTTGAAGACGCGCAGCCTCTCTCATATTCCGCAATCGAACAGACTACCATTCCAAGACGACTTCTGATACCGCCATCGCGGAACGACATGACGCCATCGCGCGGTACGTTCTACACTGACGATGGTGCCGCATCCAGCCCTACCCTGGTACCACCGGAATCACGACTCAAAAAGTCCTACAGCTGGTGTACTGACCTCTCGGGAAAGGCAAGCACTCGGTTACAACTTGCGTCTAGACACGCGTCGAAACAAGTGTCGAAGTATACATCGACGATGTCTAGCTCAGACGTCTCTATCTTTCAGAAGCAGATCACTTCAGACAGGATCGCTGTGACGAAAGGTAAGAGGAAAGAGTTGGAACCAAATCAGAGGGCTGCTGTAGATCGTATTCTAGCAAACATACCATCAGAAGCGACGGCTTCTGAGGTAGAAAGAGTTATCTGGGAAGGCGCGAACCCAATGGCTACACATCCAGAGTTTGGATACTTTTTCATCCGCGCAGCATACGAGATGTCGCCTGATGTCCTCACTCTCCTTATGGATTTCGGCGCAGACATCACCCGCAATAATCCTCCACCATCATCATATTACTCCGCCATGCACGCTGCAACCTTAGGACGACAGCTCGACACTGTCCGCTACCTTGCTGCTCTGGGTCACTCCATCGACAACCCCGACTATAGCGGAGAGACACCTCTCCATCTTGCTTGCAGGACGCCCGGTGCGTCTGCGATTGCAAAATACTTCATCGAAGCCGGCGTCGACGTGAATTCTGAAGCAAAGAACGGACGAACACCTTTGCAGTCCGCTCTCAAAGCGGCAAGGTTAGAGGGCAAGGAGAGAAGCATGTTGATCGAGCTTTTGCTCGCACATGGGGCGGAGGGCGAAGTAAAGAGAGATCTGGATTGTGGGAGAGGTAATGAGAAGGGCAGACATGTACTTGGTCTAATATGAGCCTGTGGATTGACCAGGGAAAAAATGATCGTTCTTTCGTTACCTCTGCCATGATGGAGTTGGTCAGTTCGTAGCAGGAAGGCATGCACTTTGCATATTCGAATATCCACCATACGTACAGGGCAGAGCAATTCACTATGAGAGTCCGCTCTGTGCCTACTATAGAAGTTTACTCATGCGCCGTTACGGCCAGTTGTCACAAGCGGGCACCACGAGATAGAACGATGTACCCAAAAATATTGTATTGTAATAATCGATCATGTCAAAATCCTTCACTGAACACTAATAACGCTCGACACGAGGATCGGCATGCCATGAATCTGGAAGGTGATCTGGACGTCAAGACGCGAGGTGGTCTCTGGCCAGGTAAGCCGCCGCTAACTTATCGCGATCCACTCTTCATCGGCCAACTCCGCAACCACCGATTCCCTCATCTAACGTCCCCATCCTCTGTTTGCTTTTGTGTCACACGATTGACCGTTACGACATATAACATTGCTATCATGGAGAACGTATACAAGATGTGGGTAGAAGGGAAAGAGGCAGAAGGTGGAGCGGAGCAGTCAGTTAGCGGAGCCCCTCATTTGTGACCCACCACAATTATTAACAGCATCGTAGACTCGCAATTGAAGACCCCGCAACTGGAGAAGTATTTGCACAATGCCATGCGGCATCCGCTGGAGACGTAGACAGTGTTGTTAAGACTGCACACAAGGTCTTCAAATCTGGGATCTGGTCCAAAGCGCCCCGCCATGTTCGTGCGGACACGTTGGATCGTATCGCCGAACTCCTTACGAAAAGCTTCCCGCGACTTATCGAGCTGGAAGTGCGGCAGACGGGACGCGCCATCCGCGAGATGAATGCGCAGGTCCCTACTCTTACGAAGTGGTTCAAATACTACGCCGCCTTGATACGAACCGAGGAGCGCTCAGTCTTGCCTACCGTCGGTAAATTGCACAACTGGATCGATCGTAAGCCACTCGGTGTTGTTGCGCAAATTACACCGTTCAACCACCCCATGTTGATTGCTGTCAAGAAAATTGCACCTGCCTTAGCCGCTGGTAACTCGATTGTGCTGAAACCCAGTGAACTTACGCCACTCACCAGCATCGAGCTTGGCAAACTCATGAAGGAAGCCGGCTTACCCGACGGCGTGTTCAATGTGTTGCCAGGCGATGGTATGACAACTGGAAAAGCGCTTGTAGAACATCCGCTCATTAAGAAGGTGGACGTAACTGGCGGTACACCGGCTGGGCGCGCCATTGGCGCCATCGCAGGACGTAATCTCGCACATTACACCGCCGAGCTTGGTGGCAAGGCTCCTCTCATTGTCTTTGAACAAGCGCATGTTGATCTTGCAGTGAATGGCATCGTCTTCGCTAGCTTCATTGCCAGCGGTCAGACATGTGTGGCGGCGACGCGCATTATTGTGCAGAACAAGATTCTCGATCAGGTAGTAGAAAAGCTGAAGGCCAAGGTGCAAAGCATTGAAAGGCGGATGGGCTCACCAAAGAACGTGGATTCCATGATGGGTCCTCTCATATCCGCAAAGCAGCTCGGTAACGTTGAGACGCTAGTCAACAATGCAAAAGATGCAGGTGTGACGGTCGTTACTGGTGGTCAAAGGATGAACAGCAAGTCTTCGCTGGACGACACCGACTTCTCGAAAGGCTACTTCTACCCGCCAACGATATTGGCGGATAGCGTTTCGAAGAAGATTGTTGACACACGCATATGGAAGGAAGAGGCTTTCGGCCCTGTCATCGTTGTTGTAGGTTTCGATACTGAAGAGGAGGCGCTGGATCTAGCAAACGATAGCGAGTTTGGACTAGGCGCAGCCATCTGGACACAAGATCTTTCGCAAGCTTTCCGAGTGTCAGAAAACATTGAGAGTGGTATCTGTTGGGTCAACACGCATCACCGTAACGATCCAAGCTCACCGTGGGGTGGCATCAAGAGCTCAGGAGTGGGCAGTGAAAACGGCATTGACGCTTATAATGCGTATACGACCTCGAAGAGCACAATTATTAACTACGCCACTGCAGAAGAAGGTCTAGGGAGCGACGATTGGTTTAGGGAGGGTACTGGTGAGGTTAGGTATGGATGAGGTGCGTTATGTACCATACAAAATGTGAGAATTTGGCCTCCGTGCTGCGACTTGCCATCGGTGACATATGGTTCACGTCCCATTTTACACTGTACCAGATCTGGAGTAGAACACATCAAGACAATGTTGTAGAACAGATCATCCTACGTAGACCACCAAGCGCCTTGATAGTGAGGCACTGCGAGGCTAAATGATAAATCATCAACTCGACACCAAGACCAAGAGGAAATGTGGTGCCTAATGGACACAACACGGAATATTGGGAGAGTTGTAGTGCGGCCATGATTCCCTTCACTTTCGAGTAGGAGAGATGGCGCGAACGAGGAAGGATAGCTGAAGCTAATTAGACGCGTTGCGGTGATGGCGTCATAGTTCTCGGCAGAACTCTACGACGCGTCTGTTACGATCGACGCATACAACAGCACCACTCAGCTGCGCCTTCGAAACTACGACTTCTGTAAACATGTCGTATAGAACTCGCAGTAATACTAATCAACACAGACTAGCCTCTCTAATATATAGTCATTGAATCACCAACAAACCATCCTCCCAAACTCCCGAACTCGCCTCGATTGAAGCACGTCGGCTTCCGTACCACTCATCACCAAGACCGAACTCGTCATCGTCAGGGATATCCAAATCCCACCGCAGCCTCTTGCTTCCAGCGCGACGCTTGTGCTCGGCACCCAGCTCACGGTCACCAGTTGTGCCTGGATAGTACGGTGCCAGGAGCATGTCGAACGATATGCGCCCACAAACCGCCATGTCGTCGTCCGCCTTGACCCGAGACAAAGCACGCTGCTCTTCATGAGTAATTCTGTCGGTAATGAACCCATTGTGGGCATATAGGCCCTAAACTGATGGATATATTCGCTAGTCTAACGTCCAATACGGTCAGACTTGCTGGGGAACCGCTTGTTCTCAGGGCTGGGAGCCTTCGCGTAGAGGTCACATTCTATCATCTCCCTAACTGAGCACACATTGGCGTCATACGCATTCGATGGCTGGTTCAATCACGACAGCATGTTCTTCCAGTACGTGTACGGTGGTTCATTGTGAGCAAATGTCAAGTCGGATGAGTCTTTGTTAGATATGCTATGGGGTCGTTTTTATTCGCTGAAGCACCACTGTTCCAAACGAACTGACACCTTGAAAGCGACACTAACACGCTTGAACACCGAAGGCGACTTCTGGACTATCTGTGTACTATGTATAGCTTATTTTGGGGTCTATATGACTCCTCTCGTTCTCTCCTCAATTGCCTTTCCACTTTCCCTTTTGTCCCTCGCACCCTAAACTACGGCTCCACCAGCTTTTCAAACACCTCATCCATGATCCTATCCGCCTTGTTCATCTTGTCTGCAGCGTCCTCACCAGGAAGCTGCCACATAAGGCTTGCTTGCAACCCGGCCCAGAGCTCCAGATAGTCTCTCATTGGCTGATCTAGTACGGCATCAAATTTATCCTCCGGAGTGTCGGTATTCAATCTTCGAAGCTCTGCTTCCGATTCAATGAGAAGCCGAACCATCTGTTGTGCGTGTATGTCAATCAAGATGGGTGGTATGGCGAGAAGTTTTGGCGTTGTCGTGTGGCGCGTACCAATACGATCAGGATCGAGGGATAGCTCCTGCTCCTTGAGGATGTAGTCTTTGGTCAGGCTGAGCTTGTCGCGAACCATGCTCAGATATTTCGTCTCTTCCTCTGGATTGAAGTCGGCAAAGTTTGGCGCATCAATAGCCTTGGTGTTGATCAACGGCATTTCTGGGAGCTTGAGATGATCAAAGCCGTTGTTCTCTCGGTTGAAGGCGACTTTCGGATGAGCATTGCGTAGACTCAGCCCGTCGGCCGAGACCCAGTGACGACGGAAGTCGTCTTCTGAGAGACTGAGAGCGCCATCATCCTTTTCGTTGATGCGAGGTTTGCGAGTGCGTGCTGGCATGCTAGACGTAGCTCTAGGCCGATATCTGGGGTCGCGGTGGAGAGTAGAGCTTGTAGTGATAGAGTGACGGAGTAACGGTACGGACGCGAAATGGACTTTCGAGATGACTGGACAGGCAGTGAGAGAGGTTACCAAAGCCGCACTAAGTGAAGGTAAGATAATGTTGGTTGCAAAGTTAAACTTGTAAGCACGGGTCACAACTCTCATTCACTAACATGATGCTAGGACCTATTGCATAAAGAGCTGGCGGATACTGCAAATAGTAACAACTGCTTCGAAACTTCAAAATAGAGACTCACTTCACTCTGTCCTGACCCATGATACCCCATTCACCCTGTAGGTATACACAGCGATGAGTGTAAGCACCACAAAGTTCACGATCTAGGTCTGCCCAAATCAACAAGCGCGTTGTTTAATCTGACCTGGCCTTCTCCGGATTGCTCGGGGGTCCAAGACGAACCTCTACACTTCTAACAGTCTGTTCCGCCTCTAACAGCCTTTCCAGGTCCTTCAAGACAGATCGGGTTGCATCGCTCAAATACCAGGGTACAGTTTCCATTGCAATCACCTCCATCTGATCCACATCGTATTGCCAATTGCGACAGTGTCTGAGTTCGCTCTTACGAAGGTGCTTCACCAGACCAATCAGTGCCATTGTCTCTCCTTCGACGATCATCTGAAGCTTTGGAGTGGTATAAAGACGGATGTGATACTGGAAGTGTTCTTCTCCAGTTTCGCCTGCTAACATCAGTCTTTCGCTCTCTCCATCTTCAGCCTCCTCCGGATCTTTGAAGCACATGCTACTATCCTCGTTGCAGCCATATGCGAGGTACTTGAGCTCTTTCATGATTAGATGCATGCCGTTGGCGCTGATGCATTTGTCGAGGCCAGACGGTGAAATAGCGGGAAACGCCGGCGTTTGAAGAACGATGCGAGAAGGCTCCGATGGTGCAAAATATTGGCTGGATGAGGCTGACGCTTGAAAACGGCGGAGCCTTCTCGCCGCTCTAGAGCCTCGAAAGATGTCACGACAGATTCGCCGCTTTACTATGTCGAAAGCTTGCTCTTCAAAGGCCTCCCTAACTTCTTCCCGTGTCATCACCCGTATGACTCTATCATGATTGCAGCATGTGCACGGTCGTTCGATAAGATCCTTGGCCTTTGCTTCGTTATAGGAGTTGTGAAGTGCCTTCTGTGGGCTCAGTTCGGACCAATCAGGCTGGTAGTCATCATCATGAGAGTGTTTACGCTTTGTGCCTATGAGCGGCGCCGTGACCCACAGCCATCGCTCCATCTTAATACGCTCAGCTTCTGGAACCTCTTGTGGTACTACCCTGGATAGCAGAGCCTCCAGAGCTATCTTAGATCTCTCTTCAGACATCCCGCGTTCTCCACTCGCGGCAATAGAAGTCGCATGATTACCAAGGCTGTCCCCTTGAGCTGATTCCGATGCTTCTTCACCAGTAGCTGAAGACAATGGAGTGGCTTGAGCGACCACGTCAGACTCAAGGTTGACTTTATCCATCTTTCGCATCTTGATGTGATCTATTAGGGCAGTTATGATCGTGTCAGCGGATATCTTCTTGCCCTTCGTGTGCAATAGAGGCGCAATGTCGTACCCGTCGTCTTTTAGCAGCTTCAGTCTCTGGAAGTTGCTGGCTTTCTGCCTCCACGTCTTGCGGTCCCAGACCTTGTCCAAACTTAATGCTTTGCGAATAATGTCCTGCTTCGCGAGGTGTTCCCACTCCTCGCAGTCTGGCAGAGGTTGCAAACTTTGAGAAGACTGTGGGATGATGGGACGTATGTTCGATGGGCCGGGCTGTGCTATGGATAAGTCGCCAGCGGACTCGTCCATCTGCGAAGACAATAACGTCGAAGATTTGGGCGATGTAGATGGTGCAGAGTGCTGTGCTGCTTGGCTCGGGAGAAAGTTATGCTTCTCGCGCATATTTTCAATCAAATCATCGTCCGGATGTTGATAGTTCATCAAATTGATGTTTGCAAGCGCTTGTGCTTGACTGAGCTGTTCAGGAGTGAGTTCTTGGGGCTGACGAACTCTAGAATTCTCCATGCGCTTGTTGGATCTTCCTGAGTCACAGAAAGTACGAGCCTCATGAGAGGTAGACTTGTGAGATTCCGTATTTCTCCACTGTCTAATGTGAGACATCTTATGCGTTGGGCGTCTTGCTATTATGATAGGTGTTTCGTAAGGATTGCAAGGATGGTATGATATATCTGTGTGCTATGCAGGTGCAGTTGAGCAGTTTCACTTTGAAGTACCTGCGTTTGAACCGGAGGATTCTTCTGTGTACGAGAGGGTACCAATTTGAAACAAGGAGTAAACGGTCGTGGAAAGAGCGAGAGATCGACGAATATTATGAAATGTTCCTACTTGTATGAGAGGGAAACTTGGTTTGTGGCGCAGATGACTCTCGTTCCGCAACGTGTGACATGGTCTCTGGCGCATGAAAGCGACACCCTATAGCTTTCACCAAGTAACCATCACCAGGATGTTGGTGAAGAAAGGTATCAAAAGCAAGGAAGGGGATTCAGATAGGTCGTATCCATGAGCTATCTGTTGGTTGGTGTGAATCATGAATTATATAGTTGCCTGTATGGGTAATGTAAGTACGATTTCCTATAATGACGTTGATGGAAAGTATGGTTCAAGAAATCTTAGAAGAAATAAGTGTGCAATGGGGTTTTCGGGAAAAGCCGACCAACTGAATGATCTTTGGACCAACATTAGGTATGAGACTTGCGGTCACATAAGCCGTTTTTTCTGAGATCATCGCGACGTACAAACCGCAACGACCCGAGATTGTCAACCTGCAAAGCAAACCTCTTGTTGTGGTTGAGCTGATAGGTAATCTGACTCTTGCAAAAACGGTTCTTTGTGACATATGAGACGAGCGATCGAGCCACTGCTTCTTGAGATTAGAGTGTCGAGTTACCTAAGTGTCTGATGTGATCTGCACGGGTCCTGTTCGAACCATGGGCTGGCGCGCTGTCGAAAACGGGACCCTGGCTGGCTCCGAGATGTGACGACTCGCACTACGAGGGTGTTACGAATCCTTTTCAGGAGGTGTTTCTCTTTAAGGGTGGCGTCGATGGTGTAGGTAGTCAACGCCAGTGGTTGTCGAACACGCGTCGCGACGAACCTCCAGGAAGCGAGCGCGTGGAGAACGTGACACGCTAACATTAAGTTACGTCATTAGATCAACATCTAGCTTTTCGACCTCCTGATAACTTCTTTCATCTGTCCTGCTAATGCCGGATCGACTTGAAGTGGTCTCGTTTTGGAATTCGGTGTTGAAAATACAGCTCACGTCGCTCAATAAGCTCACAATGCACTTTCACCAGGCTAACGTCTTCCATCGCGACGACGCGCGACCTTTACGTTGGAATTCTGAGAAGTCGTTCCCATGAAGCAGCATCCTTACTCACCAAATCATCGTTAGAATGTTCAACACCGTCTCGGTTCCGCGCGGGGCACTCGAAGACCAGGCTTTCTCCTTCACCTTCACCATTATCTTGCTCACATCCTCGTTGTTTTCCTCGCTTTCTCAACGGCATGCATATATGCACCTCGATGCTCCCATCCGTTTGTTGCACAACGTCACGTGAAAGGGTGCTTGCTGCCTGGCTGTTTGTCATTAGACATGCGTACTAGCGGCGATGATACAACCACTTCTATTCACACAACGAGCTGATCCGACCAACAACCTCATCGCTGACACCGATTTCATTCTCGACCTCGCTGCGGCGAACACAATTCGCCATGACTGCGCCCGGCCACAACCGTTATGCAATGTTCGCTAGCACAGATGGTAATGCAACTCAAGTGCCTAGTGCTGCTGCAGATCCTGCTCAGAATCCGTTCCTCAATCAGGTCGACGATGACTCCATACCATGGCAAGAGGTTAAGAAGCGTGGCCCTTCAGCAATGCACCCGGCACCACCAGTTCGCCCTCCGCGAGTTGTGAAGGACCGCACTAAAGCTATTCTCAACCACCCACTGGCTCACCGAGAGCGAGACCGGGCCATATCGGGCTCAACAGACAATGACAGCGAGAAGGCATATGATCCGCACGAGAATTGGTGTGGTGTCTGCTCGCGCAAGTTCCTCAACAAGGCCGCATTGCTCAGTCATATCAAGCAGAGCAATGGTCACGAAAACTACTGCAATCTTTGCAAACGCGTGTTTGTGGACCGAAATGGTCTCAAGAACCATGTTGACCATTCGTGGAATCATGAGATCCACTGCAACCTCTGTCTTTCCGCCTTCAAAGACGATTGGGGTCTCAAAAACCACTTCGAGAACAACTACAGTGTTGGACATGAGTTCGTGTGTCTCACCTGTCTACTTGGTTTCAGAACCCGCCAAGAGATGGAGCGTCACCTTCAGACCGCTCCGAAGCATATATGGTGCGGAACATGCCAGCGCCGCTTCCACAACCAGGATGAGCGCGATGAGCATTGGCAACAGACGAACAGTAAGTGCACAAAGGATTTTCTTCATTGCTTGAGCCCATTCGCATACTTTCTTCGAATGTTTAGTGAAGTTTTACTTCAGCCCATCGTGCCATACAGACGTAGCTGACCAAGGTAAGAGCATAGGCATTGCTTACAACCAGGCTGTGACTTCGATGGCCCGGATCAGGCCGCTCTCACACAGCACCTCAAACGCGATCACTTCCAGTGCGAAGGTTGCAAGCGCGTACTTCCAAGCCTGACCAAGCTCAACCAACACTACGAAAGCTGTTCTTTCGCACTTGCCTGCCCTCAATGTGGCGAGCACCACGCTGGGAAGGCTCAACTGGCTCTTCATCTTGAGCGCTGCTTTCTTTGCAATGATTGTGGCTATCATACGCACCACGAGGGCAACTACTACATCGTAAGTGGTTTGCCACGCTACTGGCTCGCGACTGCCATGTTAACAGCACGCTAGCACATGACGAAACACAGCTCTACCAGTATCGGTTGTTGGGGCTGCGACGCACCGATGCGCACCTACTCCAGTCTCATCAACCATCTGGAGTCAGGCAAGTGCCCGAAATTTTCTGAACCGGCGCTTCTCATGCGCTGTCTTGGCAAGTGGTGGTACTCCCCACTCTATATGGATCTCGACATGCACGCATCCATCCGGACCGGCCGCGTTGACATCGACGAGGTACAGCATTGGTCAATTGCTGGTATCATACACCCGTTCGTGTGCCGTGAAGAAGGCTGTGGAAAGATATTCGGTCATCTGAGCTCGTTAGTGTTGCATTGTGAGAGCCAGGCATGTGGCTGGGGTGTTGATCGCTTGAACATGCCTGGGCTGGAGAAGGAATTCAAGCTGACGTGTCTTCGAAGGGATAGCGCTGTTGCATAGGCACTGTTCAAAATTGTAGGATGATCATAAGAATACCCAGGGATATGGATGCAACGCAGTATACAGCGAAATCGATCTTTCGCCTAAGTCGTTGTTTCAACTATGTTGGGACATTCACAGCTGATTTGCGAGACGCGTCACCTAGCTAGTAGTTTGTTCTTGCAGCGACGTCACTTCATTCCCATGAGCAACAGTATGAAAGCAGGGAGATCGAGCCTGGGAGCCCTCGAGGGCGAAGCGGTTGCCTCATGATCACATGGAAGCTCAGAACCGTAGTACGATGGCCAGAATATCAGCTTCTCGTCAATCGTAAGATCTTTGTGCAGGAAGCAAAGTCGAGAGGATCATTCTATCTGCTGACTTGATGTTCGTGAGAACTACCAGAGCCCTGACCAGCGGTCTGACAGTGTATCAGATGGCTGCGCGGGCTTGAGGTAGCTTACGTACCTTTTTTTACATTGAATCAGAGAGCTATTGTGTGCTGATACAAAGGGCGGGTCTTCGTGCGCGTCGAAAGCAGAGGATTGTTGAAATGGCGGGAAGTGGAAAGGATCATTGCCAGTAGCACAATCAAGCTGTGAGCTTGGGAAGTAGAAACACCATGAATAGATGAAAGTTTTCACACATTATCTTACCTGCAGCATTCACGCTCACCCTTCATGCTGTGAAAGCTTTCCAATTGAGTTTTACATGCAAGTAGTACTCTCGCGCAGATGCACACAAAGCAGACGTAGAATCGGAGAAGTATACACACGACCACTACTGGAGAAAGACGTTTAGGATATGATGGGATTCTCTTTACCTCAAGACCCTTCAAAGACACGCTCCTTACCTCAAACATGAGCAGAGGTTGGCATGAATAGGATCAGTGTAACTTGAAAAAGTCGAGAAAATGCCGCCAAGCACTTTACGAACGACCAGCGACAAGAGCACCCATATTGCCATCGCTGTAACATAACAGTCGCATTCTACCGTCCTCACTGCCTTGCGGTCCTACCTCCGCTTACTCTTCCCGCAATTCTCGCCTTCGAGACGTCCCGTAATCTTCTTCTCGAATTCATCAGGATGCAGTGTCCTACCAGTCTTGTCCCTGAAGCGCCAGCTAACCCTATTCCAAACCATAGAACAATCCTGTTGTAGGATTCGAGCCACGAGACGTAAGTCATCGGCGGAGAAGGTATCGCCGGGTTTGACCTCGAGTTCGAGGGGACGGGTGGTGATGGGCTGGGCGTTGTTGTTGTTGTCTTTGTGTTGAGAGCCAGGTTGTGAAAGAGTTTGCTTCGAAGGAGAGTTCTGTGTTGGAGCGGTCGAATTCCATGGATCTGCTATGCTAGCACCGTCTTTTTTCTTGTCCTGATCGTTGTTCGAGGCTGTACTCCAGTTTCGTCCACAGTCAAAATCCCATTTCACAGCTGTATCATTAGCACCGTCTACACCACCTGTAGCGTTACCAAAGTCCCACGCACTAGTATCGGTCACTATAATACCTCCTACAAGACCATCCCACGAAGTGTCCTTGTTGCCAGAGTCGTCTTTGCTGTTGTCCGTGTCTCCACCAGATAGACCAGGGAAGACATCACCATTTCCCCCCGACATATCGCAAGCGTCAACAACCCCTGATGTCTCATTTTTCTTCTCTTCCTCTTTGTTGCCATTGTTCTTCGCATCCTTCTTGTTACCTCCTTTGCTCTGGTTCTGATTATGATTTTGCTTTTTCTCCTTCTCCTTCTCCTTCTTACCTTCGCCCCCTTGGTTGGCTGCATTAGCCTTCCAATCATCCGGCTTGATTGTCTTGAAGCGCTTTTTGCAATCCTCTTCAGTCTTCCCGACTTCCTGACTGATCTTATTCCAGGTCACTTTCCTGTCTTCAGTTTTCATATGTATCAGCTTCTCATCTTGTTCCTTTGTCCAAGCGTTTTTGTTTTCGTCTTTCTTGTCTCCTTCGCTGTCCTGAGCGGGATTGTCGCACGCTTCCGGACCGGTTGGATCATTGGTCGGAGTGTCCCAAGCTGGTGTAGTCTCATCCTTCCTCTCGCCTGTCTTGTCATCGCCACCCGCAGCATTTCCGACGTTTCCCCAAGTATTCGCGAGCGGATCATTGCTACCGTTGCCTGTGTTATCCAAGAATCCTTCATTTCCTTTCTTTGAGCCCGAATCCTTGTTTTCGTCTTTCACAGAAGCGTTGGCCCAATTGGTGTTGGTACCCCACAAGTCACCTCCATCGACAGCGAGTTTGGTCGAAGTTGCTTTCTTCGATGTGTTCTTTACACTCAGCACTTCCTCTGTCGACCGCTTGTCGGATGGCACCTTCGCAAGACTGGCTGCAGTGAGTCGCGGCTTCCCATCGCCAGTAAGTTTGCCCTTACGTCCGTCACTAGCGGTCCACTCCATGATACGACCAGGAGTAGCAATCTAGCGATAGTTAGTCGGAGTAAATCCTCCACAGTGTCCAATGAGAGTGCCCACTATGCTGACCGGCTGACTGGGCTTTCTAGCTTGCGGCGGAGGTGTAGGCACAGGCAACCTTACTTCCTTGTACGGCTTGTTGCTGAAGCCTAAAATATAGGCCATGGAGACCCTGCGGGGAACGCCGTTCGTATCAGCCATCGTGACGGCTTGGATGTGCAGGCGTTGTTTCTGAATCGCGACTGTTGGCGTGTAGTATGACGGACGCTGTAATCTGCGGTTGACGAAGATCGGAAAGTGAAGTCCGAAGATAAGCAATAGATCGCGATCACACTGCGACGAGCTTCGTTTGCCTGTGCGGGACAGAAGCGCTGGTGTTGCGGGAAACATATGTGAGCGTGCGGCCTGGCGGTTGGCTTGGCGAGCAGACTTATTCAGGGTCTACAGACTCTGTCCTAAAACTTGCAACAAACGACGACAGACGAAGAGTATTTTTTCCAGAGGGATTGACGTAAAATCCAACGATGGGTTGCATAAAATGAAAACAGTGACAACGGCAGAACGGGAGACATGAAAGCTGCATTGGCGTTACCTTCCGCCACGTCTGGCGGACGAGAAGACCCTTTGAACTAAATTTTTGGTTGACCGGCTTATGAGAGAACCTTCAAAGTCCTCAGATACCACTGTTACATCCTACATAGTATACAGTCGTGACGGTGGAAGGCCTTTGATGGCAGCGGATGTCAGTGCGTGCAGAGGCAGTGTATTGCACGGCGAGTCCGAAGACTACAGCCTCTGCGGTCGGTGTCATAGAAATGAGCCTAGCATCTTATCTAGTTGTTACTAGATGGAATATATGCTGCATTGGTCGACGACATCATCGTGGGTGTATGAACGAGAAAGACTCCGTTCGGAGGGAGTTGAGATGGAGCGCTGGCTGACTAAGCTACACTATAGCGTTCTGGCCCTTGCATTGCGGGCAAGCTGGCATCTCCGTGTATGCAGCTTGGCGCTCCACGAAACATACGAACCGAACACACAACCAGAGCAGCATCACCACACTTCCACCATGCTGTTCCCGTCCTTCGCCATTCTTGCTGCGGCAAGCAGCCTGCTATCATTTGCGACAGCGCACAACATCCAAATGAAGGCTCACCAGCGCGAATGCTTCCACGAATCTCTCCACAAAGATGACAAGATGACGGTCACCTTCCAAGTCGGCGACCGGGAGTTTGGAGGCAGTGGAAACCTTGAAATCGACTTCTGGGTGCGTCAATTGTGTCTCAATCATCACCTCTAAGCCGCATAGCTGACTTGCCATGCACAGATCGAGACGCCCTCTCGAAGTTACCAGGTCCACGAACGCGGCGTATCCTCTGGCGACCACTCCTTCGATGCGAAAGAGGATGGCAAATACACGTACTGCTTCAACAACGAGCACTGGGGTGCGAACACGAAGGAAGTCTCATTCAACGTGCACGGCATTGTCTACGTTCCCGAATCCGAGGCGCCACAAGATCCGTTGGAGAAGGAGGGTGAGGACACACCTTAGATCGGCTTGAGAGGACCATGCTGACAGAAGATAGTGCGAACCATGTCGGAACTCGTCGCGCAAGTCAAGGACGAGCAGGGCTACATCATCGTGCGCGAGCGCGTACACAGGAACACTGCCGAGAGCACCAATGCGCGCATCAAGTGGTGGAGCATCTTCCAGCTCATGGTACTGGTTGGCCAGGGTTTCTTTCAAGTGTGGTGGCTGAAACGTTTCTTTGAGGTAACCAGCACCTGCGCATTCCAGTCTACCACCTCCAAGTGCTCAACTAACATGATAAACAGGTCAAGCGTGTTGTTTAGTCTTGCAATCCCTCTCATGGACCGCGCGCGACACAGCATGTCTCGCTTCGGTCTCTGTTTCAAGCTTTTATGTCTGACCTTCCGGCGTTGAAGTGCAAGCTTGAGTAAACAAGCATAGGAAAGAGATGGAAGTATTGGGGATCCTTCATACGACTCATCAGCGAGATACTTGGTAAGACTATCTTCGTGTATGCATTTTTCATTCAGTTTGCCCAGAGTTCCACAATAAACCATGGATCTTGCTTTGGCCTGCAGGCTTAGCACAGATCGAGCCGTCTAGTGGTTCGCCCAGATCAGCTGCTTCGGGCCAGTCTGGCGCTCTTGTAGAGATATGTATGTAAGTGGCTGTCAAAAGACAAGTGTTGTGAATGTCTGCATAGTCAGCTTGCATTAGGCGTTCCCGATTTGTTCACCTAAACCCACTCTCATCTGCAACGTCTATATATAAGCTTTCTACCTTACACTACCTCTCTTCAAAAGTCTTGATTCTATCCTTCGCGATCATAGCTGCGTTTGCCATTGCAATCTCCCAATTCGTCTCATTACGTCAACATCAGGACAGCCAGGCAGCGACATCACAGTCTCAACGTGGCGATTGGCTGGTTCCTATACGCAATCATTGGGTGAAGGCAGGAGACACGTTGTGGCTTCTTCTGTCGGTGTGCTATAGTCTGTTGTTGGGTAGCGCACCTTCTATCACTCATCGTTGGCGCCTTCCACGCGTCCGTCACCACGAGCAACGGCAGTATAAATAGTCAGCAACCCCCGCTCGCCTCTTTCATCATCAAATATGAGCCACTCGACTCGACCTGCTGCAAGTACTTCAGATGGACCCTTCTCAATACGGCGCGCCTGCTGGCTGGCCTCGGGATATGGCTTTGGATGACCTGTATGACACTACTACCATGCGCAAGAACCTCATTGGCGCTGCCTTTGGCGACCACTTGCAACACAAGAATTCCGCCAGTGGTTCCATCCCAACTCCCCTTTCTCCTGATTCGGAAACCATCCACCGGCCGCAGCATAGGTACAACGTGCCTATGCTGCGTTGGACGGACGGGGAGCGACCGCTTACTCCGCCTTTTCACCACCAAAACGATTTCCCCCAATATCATGGCCAATGGAAGACCTCACTGTCTATGCGAAGTCCTCCAGATTATTCTCCGCTACCGGAGACCCAGGCAAACTACACGTCCCCGTATGGCACATACACACCAGCACATGATCGACTCACAGGACGACCTGATTTCCAAAGTGCCTCATCACGCCAGTATACTATCCAACCTCCCCGCCTACACCCATCCGCGAACTTGTTACACTCGTCACCCCAACAGCAGATCACTTACCTAAAGCCGACTCTTAAAGCGCCCTCTATTCAGCAGTGGCCAACTCACAACCTGGCATCCCACGATTCAAAGGTCGATGCAGCAACAAGGAAGAAGCAGGACGAATACAGGCGAAAGGGCGAAGCAGCGAGGAGGAAGACGATATCATCCCAAAATTCAGCGCCGCAGTATGCTCCAATTCCTGAACCTGCATCAACCCCCCGTCGTAAACGCAAAGTCGGGATCCTCGATGATCTAGTCACACCTACCCCAGCTCCGCATCATCGCTCTCTGCATCCGTCGTACGGTCAACAGCAGCAGAGTGACACTTCCGGCGATGCAATAAATTATCACTCGACCCCCCAAGAGCCGCTGTCCTACAACATGGACTGGATCGGTCAGGAGCAGTATCACACATCAATCCCACCATCCCATCACCCGCATTCTGCGGGCGTATTTGATGCAAAACTCCCTCTGTATCCGTCTCAGCATCCACCACATACACCCACACCACTTCCACCGTCATCCCTCAACATTATCGACCTTGAGACTATACCTCAACACATCACTCGTAACTACGATGAGTACAGATGGCCAGTCAAGCTCTACCAATTACAAGCCGAAAAAGACTTTGATTTTGCTGAGTGCTTCTTGGAAAACCACTTCCAGCAAAACATCTACGATTCGGATGAGCATAAGTGGCACGCTCATACGACTAAGGGTTTCATCAAGGATGGTAATAGACTGTCTATTCTGGTCCTACATAATGCAGCAAATCCGTTCGAGTGGGGCATATCACCTGTATCGACTACCAGTATTGGTGTACATGGATTGTATGCCCATGAGCATAACGAAATCCATTGGACGACTATCGCCCCCAGTATTCCGGAGTGGTTCGACTCATGCTCAGATCGTGGCTACCTCACTGTCAAGCAAAAATGGCATCCCGACATGAAGGCTTCGGAGAAACGCTTCCATCGCGCATATTGGCTCGCAGCTAACATGTTGCCGCTTAACCGCATATTGAACAACAGCCTGGCGCCCGAAAAGCCACACGGCTTACTCGAAGACGACGAAGGCGATAGCTTCGTAGTTACTGAGGAGGACCTACTATACAATTGGACTGAAGGAACAGTAACAGTAGAGAATCCGGAGAAGATCTGGCAGAAGCTTGTCGATGAAGTGGATGCGCTGAGTTTGGAATCGCTCGATTTTGAGCATCTTGCTACTGGTGGATCTGAAAGGGCCTTTGTGGTTGATTGAGATTTCGAGGAGGCACATCGTCAATACAAGACGGCTATGGACTCATATAATGAAAAGAAGGGTATTCGAGAAAGGAAGTAGCTAAAGCTGAAGACACCATAGCCTCATTGCAGATAAAAAAACAAATTAAAATATGAAAACACTTCTGACAGTCTGTTACAATCTGCGAGCATTACGAGGCAGGACGTTTTTCCAGGCTATACACGAAGCACTGAATCCCCTGTAAAGGGTCTTTGCTGTAGTTGGCTAGGTGGAATTACAATACATTACCCTAATAGTGAAGAAAAGAACGAACTTGTTCGTACTGCTCTGTTTCTTGAATGTATCAAGCCGAAGCCCTGAATGGCACTAAGAATAATCTAGCTTATCTGCCAGTGGTCACGATACAGATATCTCTCTCTATCAACCATACCTGGCACTACTCATCAATGTCTTCCTCCTGCACACTCAACGCGTCGACACTATCCGCAAGGCTCAAACCCGTTCCACCTGCCCTCAGCGATGGTTTCTTCCCTTTTCCCTTTGTCCTCTTCTTGTTCTTCGCTCCACTACTTTCACCCACCGGCGGCGCGTCCCTAACCCAGCGCGAGATAGCTTCCGCCCTCTCCGTACTGATGGGATACTCGCGACCGTTGTCCTGCGCCCAGCGCTTGGGTGGTGTGGGTTGCGGCGACACTGGATTCCCATCTGCATCACTAGGAGGAGATTGCTGTCTCTTCTTCTCGGCTTCCTCATCTTCTCTGTTCCGGCGTTCTCGTG